GGACATTTTTGTTAAAAGTTGCAAGTTCATTTATTGCCTTTCTTTCAAACTAACAATGTTGTTTCATTTGTGAAAACAAATTTAAGTTTCCCTTCTGATTACATAAACCGTTTAAATATCATTGCCATGTAATACAGTGTAACAAAAGTTTACAACAAATATACACCTCATTTTCATAGCATATGGAAAGTCATATTTGAATTAGATCTCATGAATACCGAAGCTTTGAGCTGCACTGTGCAGGGTTTTTTGTTTTTTTGACAAATTGTCTAGGGGGGGGGGCTTTATGTGCATGTTAAAACTGGTTTTACGCCGTCAAATTTTGTGGCTGAATCAATTCAGGCTATCTGGATTATGTGTTGTCATTGCTGTTTGTTTTGATTTCTATTTATGTTTTTTTTCTGAGCAATTGGGAGTTTGTGGTTGATTCGGTTTGCTGTACTATATGTGGTATTTTTAGCAATTCATGTTGTCTGTTCTGTGGTCGGGTTGTTGTCTCTTTGACACATTCCCCATTTCCATTCTCAATTTTAATTTTATTAATATTTCCTTTAATTTATTAACCCCTCTTTTACTCTTGATCGGTGGACTTAAAAATAAACATTAAAAAAATCAGTAGATATGTAGATTTAAGATGTTTTTGTCTTTGGTTGCTATATCAATGATCCTCATATTTGTAAAAGATTGTCTCAAATCGTTCATCAGTTTGTGAAAGTGTTAGCAGTAAAAGATAAAACTTAATGTCAAAAAATTACATGACAGTTGAAAGAATAATTCCATATTTCGAATACACAATGTATTAGTCTTTCACACAGATTTTTTAAAAATGTTTTTGTCATGCAGATTTTTTCATGGTTTTTTTACAAGATAATTTATTTGATTTGGAAATATTTGCTCATGAATCTCTTGGAAAAAGATTGAGGTTGGGGTTTCAACCATAAAAAAATAAAGGTGTTTTATAAATGAAGTTATCAAATACATTTAGAATACTTTGATTAATTCCTTCCTTGTGAATGGTTCTCGGAAGCTCTCAGAGCACGTTTAGCTAAGAAAACCAAGATCAGATACATATAATACTTCTATATGTCTCTGGAAAGATCGATTATACACTTATGATACATTTTCAGTCGTGCAGGACATGTGTTTCTGGAATAAAATTCGTAAGCTACAATTGAGTGCAGAAGTTGGGGAACCTTAATAAATAAATGGAATCATCAAAATAGAAACCAATTGCTTGGCAAGGAATTAAAAAAAACTATAAAAAATCAAACAAAGAATGGACAAATGCGGATACCCAAGTTTTGGGGTCTAAGTATTGATAGTTTTGTGTAGTTGATTGATATGTGTACACGCCAACATTTGTTATGATTAACCAACTATACATAGTATACCCATAGGACCCATGACATATCATAAAACAGTTGTTAATGAACACAAAATGAAGGTAGAAACTATAATTATCCTTTGTTGGTTTTCTTGATTTTTTAGAGTATCTAAATGACCAATATAAATTGTTCATAAAACATAACACTTCGTTAGCATTATCATCTAGAATTGCATGTTATATCTGCCGCTGGATAGAAATGCTGCCTATAATCACTCATTCCAATTTTATTTAAACCTAAAAATAATGACACTGGATTTTATGATACGGGAGGAGACAAATATCAACATGGTCAGTTTACAAGGACATTGTTTTGAAGAATAATCATCAACACAGGCCTCTCTCCTTAGTCTTTTATTTATGATGATCGAGAAATACTTTTGCCTAAACTCTCATCCAATTATTTCCGAATTGTCGGAATCGAGCCTGTAATGAAAATAAAATAACGTTATATAATCAAGTTAATCACGACACATGAATTATTCAACGTGTTAGATTCTTGGAGTAAAATATATAACAGTGAGTTAATGCTCTTGGGTAAATGTACTTTTCCAAAAGACAGCAATTTTGTAAAATACTAGGAAATGACCAATATATGATATATCAAAGGATTAAAACTGTTACTGTCATTCCTAGTTGAGTCTTTGTCAAGTCAAGTTCCTACTGAGAAAGATGAAACGTCTAGAAGATGCTCAGATTATTATAGCACAGGTAAAACAGATGACACTAAAAAGATGTTGATGGTGTCGATGGTATTTAAATTAAGTGCTGTTTTTTTTAATAGAATCATATCGTGCATAGTTATCTTTATTTTTCAATTAAAACGTTAACGGAGATCGAAGGGGAACAGTTGGTTATTTAAACAAACAAGTTTAACCCAGTCACATACAAGTATGACTGTCGCAAGTCAGGAACCACGTCGATTATCTTCATTTAAACCTTTTATTTGTCCTAATAGGGGTATTATCACAGGCAGATATATGTGTAATTAGTACCTGTTAGCTAATAACTTTTCTAGACTCGTGATGATAAAGAGCTTTATGTCATCGTGTAGTGTAAACACTTTCAATAGATTGAAATTTTATAATTAAAAGTGTCGGAATCCCTTTATTGCTTTTATAACACAGTATCGAATTGTTTATCATTATTTGTAATACGTACTGTTTTTCACAAATAAACTTCATTGCACGTTGACATAGAATGTCATTCCATTTTATTCCATCAGATCCAAAGTCATGTAAATGTAAACAGTCCTCGTTTCCACCACTGTTACTTGGATTACTTGGTCCCCATGCTGTATATGTAAACACTCTGTCGCTTGATGCCCACTGCCATGTGCCCTCGATAATGTCATCTCTACCGCCTAACCAGTACTCATGACCTATATAATGATAATGATAACGATAATCAATAATAATAATAATGATAATAATAATAATAATAATAATGATATAATAATAATAATTAGTAGAAGAATAAGAATAAGAACCCTCTCAACCGTAATCCCCCCTCAGAAAAAAACTTTAAAAACAATCAAACAATTGAAATAAAAAAATCATAATCAGCTGACATTCTTGTTTACATCGTTGTCCTTTTTATATAGTCGTTTCCTTGCCAATTTGACCAAAATTCCTTATTTTCTAGACAGTACAAGTCAACATCAATTCAGTGATATTTACTAAAAAGTCCAACATTTTGTTCTAGACATTGGGTATGATCATGCCATCTTTTACTGTTTTTAATATTTCTGTTTGAAATTTACTTTCAAGTTCTGCCACCGATATAAGAATGTCCTACGGTGTAATCCATATCAACAGTTTGCGTGCTATTGGCTTTATTTACAGTAACTGCAGGGAGTCTTACATACGATATCGTTAATAATTTTTCGTTATTATTTTGTTGTCTGTTATAACGGAGTTACAGTGTTTATGTTTTTTCGTGTGTTTGTTTGTGCCTTATTTTATGGGCCTTTTGTTATTTTGTATTCGATTTTAAAAGGGGTAGTGTTAAGATCCAGCGGTTCTTTTCACAAAAAATCTTAAGAGTAAAAATACTCGTAAGTCATACACATTTCAGTATAACTTACGATCACTTTTAATCGTAAGATTTTTTGTAAATCCATATGCTTGTCTGAAGACGGGAACCTTGTAATTGGTTGTCTTTTGTTATCTCTTTTAATACTGTTTTTTTTTATAGGAATTTGTTTTTGAGGGGACATATTGGAAAGTTTTGGTAATACATATTTACGATTCTTCTAGACTCGAGGCGATTTATAGTTTGGCACATATACTGTGTATTGTTGAAGACCGTATGTTGACCACTAAAGGATTTCTTACGGCCGGGTTTTCGTGAAGTTCGTGAAGTTGCTGTCCCACTGACGGATACATAGTATATGTAAATGTTATATCAAATTCAATTTTGATTATAAAAAGAAGACACGAAGTGGTAATTTTTCAGTTTTCCGTCGCAGTTTCGAGATCACCTTGGATGACTGATACATACACTTATTGGTTGTCTATCTCAATGTTTTGTTTGATAGACAAAATGCACTCGGGAAAGTCATAAAAAATGTGCTATTTATGAAAGTCACATTCCATAGTCTAAAATGTATACATAAAAAAGACTGTTAATGAAAATAACACTTTATAATTTTATGTGTCCGCCGGTCCGAGGCGCTTTTATGGATTTAACTTCAAGAAAATACAAAGCAAAACAAAAATGAAAGTCAAAACTGTATATGTAACGAAACTCGGGAAGAGCTATGCTATATGACCAAAAGGGATCTAACAACAATGGCCAAATCCATTTAATGTTAACTTTGCCTGAGGGAGTTGAAACCTTGTTTTCAAAATAATTTCTAAATTTATCAACTTCGAATTTAAGAGAGATATGTGATATATCCTATCAATAACGAAGCACGGCCTATTGAGATGGTAATACCCCGGGGACCAATAATGTATCAGCAGAGGTATCGACCCAGTCCTAGAAAATGAAAATAACACTTTATAAATGGTATGCGTCCGAAGCATTTTTCTTGATTTACCTTCATCACGAACCTAAAAATAATGGCTAAACCCATCTAAGGTCAACTTTGCCTGAGGAAGTTGCAACTTTACTTTACTTTCAAAATAATTTCCAAATTTATCAACTGAGAATTTTAAAAGCGTATACTATAAATCCACACCGAGGCAATGTAAACTGATCTTATAACACGTCATACAACATCTATTTTTGTACATATCTTTATAATAATTCCTGTTAAAGTATCATGAGTATGTAATATGGCGAAAATAATGTGGTGAATATTCAAAAGCTTTTCCGTATCAAAAATACATTAAATCGACTAGCTTCTAATCACGTGAAAGCAAAATGAAAAATATTGAGTATCAGTTGCTTTCATGAATATGGGCATATGGAAAGTAGATGTTATAGTTTCCTAGCAGAGAACGAAACACTGTCAATAATTAGTTATACCAGAGGGGATGCAGCTAAGAGATTTTGAAATGCCCTTTCATTCTAGAGGGTGTACATCCAATTTATTTGAACTTTGGTGGATAGTTGTCTATTGGCAATCATACCTCATCTCCTTATTTTTATATTGTGTATGACTAGTTACCATTTTTCAGTATTTTGACCATCGAGATCAAATAGTCAGACTGTGCTTTTGTCGTCACCTCAGCAAGTCTAGCTCCGTGACCTCGGCAGCTACTCTGTTGGGATAGTAAGCTTATGTAAGATACCGTGAATTCAATTTCTAGCATACATAATGTTCTTATCTGTCATCGTTTGGTGACGTTATAAACAGGAAACAAAGAAATAATAAACATAAAGCTGTTGATGCTACATGTGTAAATTGATATTGACTATGTACATGTATTATGTTGATACCAGTTTTTATTGCACACCACATGTGTTCATGGAAAAATGTGCCCGGTATCGCTAGATTAAAGCTTTAGAAGTAAGATACGTTAATTTGTAAGTGAAAATCAACACCAAATAGGCCGATTGACCAAAGATGATTTATCTTTGTTTTATATTTTTATGAAATATATTTCTTAAATCAACGTTTTACTGGTAATAAGTGTTCTGAACCGATTTGAAAAGAGTTATTTTCTAAGCTTCGCATGAAGATTTGCTTTTTGATCTTACAGACAATATATTATACCTCTGCTAGATACCAACTAAGAGCATCTGAACTGAACATATAACATGACTCTTCAAAATGGTTCCATCCTAAGTGACATTCACTATTGACACCTAACAATGAAAAGAGTGTTAGCGGCGTTGACCAATTATATTCAAACCTAATTCCAAGTCAAATGTTTGTAGGAATGAGTAAATAGTAGAAAGTTTCAACATTTAGTGCATTGTGTATAATTTATCTTGGCAATATGCCTTTTTTTTCAATAAAATAGCTTTGGGTGCGGGATTTTCTCGCTGGGTTACTGACCCATTGGTGGTCACGGCGTGGGCTGTTTTCTTTTCTGCTCTTTAGTTGTTTGTTTTCTCTTTGACATATTCCCCGTTTCCATATTCTATTCTATTCAATATAAATATATATGTCTCTTTAAAGAAAAAGTAATGACATCTAAACAATGTCATTAACTTATTAATAGCTTAAAGTTATCATTATTAACAAGACGATTATTCTTACCTGCTGCATGAAGGAAAATAATACAAGCGAAAGACCAATATTGTAAACAAATCATTTCTTAATATGGAGATGATATGGTAAAGATTTGATAAGAATACATTTATGGCCTTTACCTACTTCCATCTGATCGATAAACTGGCGAATCATTTAATTTTTGTCATAATGGCACACAAATGTATTATCTATAATGATGGCAATAGCACACTTGTTTGTACCAAAAACACGAACTAAGTTAAACACCAACTGAACAAAACACCTTTTGAAAAACATATTTAAACAAAACTTATACTTTATTAAATGCAAATTTTAGAAAGAAGTAGTAGTTTGCACCTGGGACTTTTGCATATAGTGCTAAGTTACCTGCATTTTCATAAAACAGCAAAGTGCGACTGCGCTGCAATGGCAATCGCCGCCAAGTTAATGTTTTTATGATAACTTATGTAAAAATATGTAAAAGAATAATATCTAACAGGAGATTATCTTGTTCAAATTCAGAAAAGACTATTAACAATAGATTTTATACTACTTCAGAATCATAAGGAGACGTGACTTCTCATTTTGAAATTGATAGGGAGAAGTGGTGAGACAGTTTAAAGAGAATTGCTTGTTTGATCGTGGCGCTATAATGTTTGGTTTTTATCTTGCTTTTTGTAATCCATTGGTTTGATATTGTTTTGCTTTTTCAAAAGCAATCGCCTTAACAAAAGCATTTACCTTAAAAACCGGTAATTATTTATGTAAAGATAGATACAAACAGTACAAATAGTCTAATTCTAGTTGCTTTGACATTGACCTTTGATGTGGTGACCTCAAAATTAATTTTGATTTCCCTCTCATATATGTGACCACATATCCACTTAAGCTTGCAATCCCATAATTTGTACTTGATTTTGCATCAAGAAACAACTTTTTATGCTACTGCCACAGGCACTTGTCTCTGAAAAAAAATTCCTATATATAGGCAGGGGGTGAAGTTTCAGACAAGTGCCTGTGGTTACTGCATACACTTAAAGATATGTATAGTGAGACTATACAAATCCTTGATACACTTCAGTCTATTTTTTATTTAGTAACCATGGCCTTGACCTTAGACGTAGTGACCTAAAAAAAAACCAATCAAGATCTTCAAATCGAGGGTTTCTTATCGTCTAGTATGAAACCATATATCCCACATATTGTGTTTGATATAGCATCTGTAACCCAATTTTTCTGCACAAATGTCATTCTATTTTAGTTACTATGACCTTGTTCACGGACGTATTGACGTTCAAAATGAAAAACGATCTTCCTCTTTACACATGTGACCATATGTCAAAGTAAGGTTGTCATCATATATGAAGTATCTGATAAATCATCCAGAAATCATTTTTTTTCAGAATGAATTCCAGTATATTTTTAGTAAGTATGATCCTGACCTTCAACATAGTGACCTCAAAATAAATAGGGAGCTTCCTCTCATTATATGTGACCATATATCTTAGTATGGTTGCAAATTAAGTGGTGTCTTTCTTCAATGGAGCTTGGTTATTTGTTAACAGAAAAATATATTCAAAAGGGTAATATTACATAAAGTGTTCGAAAATTTCATAGCATTTTAATAGTTGATGCTCTTATGTGTTTCTATACCACAGAACGATGTAATATGAATTCCCCCTTCTGGTCACAATGTTAGACTCAATGTCTTAATATCAGTCACTGTTATAATAGCTGCTTAACATCCATTGGCAAATGTTACATGCACATTCAATGTAAATTATATATAAAATATACCATGCTTTGTTCAAAACTCACTCTTAGTTGGATTTTTAATAACACTAGATGAAAGACATTATTCTTTTCTCTTACCTCCAAATGCCACATTTTAGTAAAGGAGCAGCAGATAGAAGTTGCTGCCACAAAAACATCAATCCAATTAAGAAAAATACTTCCAAACAAGACTTCTGGTCATACTATGGCATCTTCATTTGATAGGAACCAAAATATTGACCTAAGAAATCTATTTTTTATATAATAGGATATGTGGGGTATTCATCATTATGATATTTACTAAAAAACAAAAGTAACATATAGACAGCAACAAACAGTCTTCAGCAAAAATCAGGTGTCTGTAGCTCTCAATCATCTCAAGTCCATAAAAGTTGTAAATAAATTAAACAGAAGCTTTCAAATACATGCAATCAACATCAAAATCTCCAAATAACAAAAAAAAACATTAACATTAAAATCTCAAAATAACAGAAAAACATTAAGTTATGACATATAACAACCACTGACATTGTTCCAGACATATCACAGGCACAATATGTGGCTAGGTTAAACTAGTTTTTGGAGATCTCAACACGTGAACAAAATATGAAAAAAAAGTGAAAAAAAAAATTGTGTATTACTATGTTGTTTAGACAATTTTGTTAAAAGTTGAAAGTTTATTTATTGCTTTCTTCTAACCTTACACTTAGAATGTTGTTTCATGAATAAAAACAAGTTAAGGTGTCACTTCTGATTACATAAATCATTTTCATTATTGCCATATAATACGGTGCAAGAATAGTTTAAACCTAAAAGACATCTCAAATTTACAGCCCATGCGACCCCCTTGGTGGTTTTGTGGTAGAGTGTTCGTCTTGAGTGCGAGGGGTCGTGGGTTCAAATCCTGGCCAGCTCAAACCAAAGACTTTAAAATTGATATTTGCTGCTTCTCCGCTAAGCACGCAGCATTAAGGAGTAAGAGCAAAGACGGGTCGACTCGGAGTCAGAATAATGTGTCCAGGTAAGGTGATATGTCTTCCTGTGGTGTGTTACCTTGTATCTTGTCTTGGGGAGAGATAAATCCTACTTTGTAAAGAATCACTCTGATTCAAACAAAAAATTCTCTGAAACTGACATTATCAAGATGCTCTATTTCTTGATTGACAACATATTTGTTACGTTTGGAGGACGTGTTTTTCGACAGACTGTCGGAATTCCAATGGGAACCAATTGTGCCCCTCTTCTTGCCGACTTGTTTCTTTATTATTATGAGGTTGACTTCATACAGGAACTTCTTAGGAAGAAAGATAAGAAGTTAGCATTATCCTTTAACTCTACGTTCCGCTATATAGATGATGTTCTCTCACTAAATAATACAAAATTTGGTGACTATGTTGAACGAATCTATCCCATCGAACTAGAGATAAAGGATACTACAGATACAGTTAAGTCTGCCTCATATCTTGACTTACATCTAGAAATTGACAATGAGGGTCGGTTGAAAACAAAACTTTACGACAAAAGGGATGATTTCAGCTTCCCAATTGTGAACTTTCCATTTCTATGTAGCAACATTCCAGCAGCGCCTGCATACTGAGTATATATCTCCCAATTGATACGATATTCCCGGGCTTGTGTTTCCTATCATGATTTCCTTGATAGAGGATTGCTGCTCACAAGGAAGCTATTAAACCAAGAGTTCCAAATGGTGAAGTTGAAATCATCCCTTCGTAAATTTTACGGACGCCATCACGATTTGGTTGACCGTTATGGAATAATCGTTTCACAGATGATATCGGATATTTTCCTTATGTCGTAACTACAATACCCTTCCCTTTTCACGAATGTGACTTACCGAATTAGACTATTTACCGGATTTGTAATAACATAAGCAACACGACGGGTGCCACATGTGGAGCAGGATCTGCTTACCCTTCCGGAGCACCTGAGATCACCCCCAGTTTTTGGTGGGGTTCGTGTTGCCTAGTCTTCAGTTTTCTATGTTGTGTCATCTGTACTATTATTTGTCTGTCTTTTTATTTTTGGCCATGGCGTTGTCAGTTTGTTTTCGATCTATGAGTTTGACTGTCCCTCTGGTATCTTTCGTCCCTCTTTTGTAAACTAGCACATTTGAAAACCAGCTCAGCGTGTTGGTCTAGTGCAAAGCAGGGTTAATATTCATATAACATTAACATGTTCTCGTCCTGAATATGCATATTAATTTGCCGCTGGATGTTTCCATCCATCATCATCATAATCATCATAGCCCATGGAAAGTTATATTGGAATAAGAGCTCTTTTGAACCAAAGCTTTGAACTGCACTGGGCAGGTATTTTAGTTCTATGACAAATGCTCTACCCCCAACATTCTGTATGTGCCTGTCCCAAATCAGAAGTTTGTAATTGAGAGGTTGTCGTTTGCTGAAGTATATCATATTTGTTTTCGTTTCTTGTTTTGTATGTAAATCAGGCCGTTAGTTTTCTTGTTTGAATTGTTTTACATTTGTCATTTCGGGGCCTTTTATATAGCTTAGGGAGCAACCATTTGATTTTTATGGGGGGGGGGGGGGGGGGGAATGAGCAACTTGGTAAAAAAAAGGCGGGATGACAATTTATGTAAAAAATGTCATGATAAAGTAATAAAAAAAAGGCAAGACCGAATAGAGTGAACAAATAAAAAGGCAGGACAGAGATTACAACTAAAAAAAAGGCAGGACGAAATTGTTCATCCTAGCCCCCCATAAAAATCAAATGGTAGCTCCCTTACTATGAGATATGGGTTTTGCTCATTGTAGATACATTGACCCAAAGTTGTTAACGTCTACATCATTTGGTATCTGGTGGAGAGTTGTTTCATTGGCAATCATATCCCCATCTTCCTGTTTTATAACTTGGTAAGGAGGGCTTTGTGTGCACATTAAACTGGTTTCACCCTGTCAAATCTTGTGGCTGTACCAATTCAGGCTATCTGGTTAATATCATATGTTGTCATTGCTGTTTTTCTTGGTTTGTATGAACGTTTTTTCTGAGTAGTTAGGTGTTGATGGTTGATTTGGTCTGTATCAATTCCTGTTTTACATGACTTTTTAAATACTCCCCCTTTTAATCTTGATTGGTTGACTTACAAAATGTACATTTTTGCCATGCAGATATTTTCAGTGTTTTTTTAACAAAGTAATTTCTTTGATTTGGAAATTTGTTCTCTTGGAAGAAGATTGAGGTTGTTTCTTTGGTGCACCATCAATGTATAAAAGTGTTTTATAAATGAAAATGAATAAACATGTTAAATAAGACATTAATCTTTATTTTCTTTATTTTGAGACTTTTCTGATGTTGAAAAATTCCACAAATGTAAAACATGATCATAGAATGAACATGTGGCTATTGTCCTATTGAAATTAAGTGATGAATTATCTCCAATCTTAGTATCTTGTCTATCTGAATCAACAGAATGTTTGTAGCAAATATCAGCACCATATCCTATAGACTCTTGTTTGTCATAATGACATACAACAGAAAGCTTTCCATCTGCAAATATATAAACAGTCTAGAGATCAACAAAAATCAATTGAACAAAAGATGAAAACTATGAAAATTAAAAATGTGTGTATGTTGTTACGATTTTACCATGTTCAACATGAGTAAAAATATCTAAAGGTCCCAGAGAGCCTGAATAGCTTACCTGGATATAAGCATAGTTGCTGAAAAAGTGCAAGTAGGACGGTTTACAAGTACAATGTAATCCTCATATGCATGGTTCAATAATAAACAGAAGGCAATCTTGGAATTAAGATATATAAAAAAAAATTGTGTTAGGTCATAATTGTGATCACCCCGAGTTTGGTTGGAATTGGTTCAGTAGTTTTTAAAGTAGAAGATCTTTGATTAAGTTTACAACGTACAGCAGATACTGGACGACAAACACAAAGTGGTGACAGAAGCTCACATGGCTTTCTAGGTCGGGTTAGCTAATTCCAAAAAAAATTTCAATTTTCTGAAACACAAATTGCATGTAACTTTTATGTAGATCTACTTCCTGCCATGCCTTAAAACTTTTCCAGTTTCACAGGTTTGTCTAAATTAAGACTAAACACAGTCACTTTTGCCATAGGAAACGATGAACCATAATCCACTGAAATTTGTTACTCATAATAAAGCAATAAATAATTCCTGGTTTTTATGGGAATACATTAATTACGATTTAGACAAAAACTTTAAATACAATTTTTTTGAATCAAGTATTAATAAAAGCTACATTTTGAAATTATAATCGTTATAAGCAATCAGTTTGGCCCGAATTTGTCAAAATAAGCTAAAAAACATCACTGATGTAATTCAACTTCATGTGAATCCGTATTTATGTGACCTTCAATTCTTAACTGGAGATGGGTTCCCCATGTACTAGGCGTGTTCAACTATTAAAAGGAAAATAAAATTGAGAATGGAAATGGGGAATGTCAACATTGAAAGTGAAACAAGGTTGATCCATTTTGTTGAATGATTCGATCCACATAAAATCATTCTTAGTCAAATAAAAACGATGACGAACATATATTTTTAACCTATAACATGCAATCAAACAGACCTAGAAAAATTCAATTGCCTATGCTCCCTTTTTATTTATATTTATGTTTATGTTTATATTGGGTTATGTGAACCTTGGCAGTCTTCTTCTGTCATCTTCATGGTTAATTAGATGGCGTCTATACTAAAATACACACCAAATGCTGATACATATTATTGAATCAATGCATTGTTAATTGTTTATTTTGGACTTTTTGTAATTTGGATATACGTTTTAGTAGTTATAAATCAAATATGATAATTGAGTCAAATCGGTGAACATCAATTTGACAGCTAATGGCCCTTTAATAGATCATATTTTATTGGAAACTACATACCAGAAAATTCAGAAGCATCTATCACATGGAATCCATTATACATTGTAGCTGTAAGAATGTAGTCAGACTTCTGTGAATCCCATTTAATTCTCCACACTCCTCCCCCAAGTTTTGTCTCTGCCAGTGGAGATCTCATATTTCTCGTATCCCATATAAATAAGTTCTCATCATAGCTATGATATGAAAAAGATATCCATACTCTAATCATAAGAAAAAGGATGTATCAAAGTCATGTCTCTTTAAAATCTCATGCCGAGACAAGACTGGAATTCTATAACCTGCATTTACTTGAAGAAAATTGCCATCGTTAAGCAAATAAATTATAACCCAAATTATAACACAGTATCTATCATAACAAGACCAATACCATGTCTGGACCTGCATCGCTGCATGCAATTGATTATGGCAAAATGTACACTGAAGCTTACTAAGTAACTGAAAATTCCCTATAATCATTGAAGCCAAGAAATCCTTCTGCAAAGAGTGTAAAATTTCAACTATCAGCAAACACTATTACAGTGGACATTATTATAGATGCCATTAAAGTGAAAAATATGACAGTGGACAGTTTCACAGTGACTAATATTACAGTGGACACTATTACAGTGGACAATATTACAGTAACTAATAATACAGTGGGCAATAATCCAGTGACTACTATTACAGTGGGCAATATTACAATGACTTATATTACAGTGGACTCTATAACAGTGGCTAACATTACAGTGGACACTACAACAGTGGCTAATATTACAGTGGGCAATATTACAGTGACTAATATTACAGTGGCTAATATAGTGGACACTATCACAGTGACTAATATTACAGAAGATGGACAAAATGATGAACTAATGAATAGCCTAAGGGAGGAACAGACAAACAAAAAGACTGGAAAACAAAATTTCCCCTACTATTTTTAGCTGCATAAAAAAAAATTGAAGGGAGGAAACATAATACCATCAATTTTCTTACCTCCCAGTACTGAGCACATTTTCTTTAAACGGATGACACTGTATACTACATACACCCATACTATGTCTGGAAAAGTTCAAGAAAAAAATACATAACAAACACAAGACACTTTAACCTACATACATCTATAGTTCTATACTATATTTGGAATTAAAACATGTAAAATACAGATAGCACAAACCACTGATATCAACAAGTAGATGCAGATATCCATTGAAATTCTCTACTGATGTAAAATGTCATTTTGGTTTGGTCAGGTTTTATGGACTTCCCCCTTTTTGAATTTTGTAGATTCAGTATTTTTGTAAATACATTTTTTTCTCAGTTATCAACAATATCATAAGGAAGATTAAGAGACATATATATATTAAGACCCTTCCAAAACTAAAAAAATGTCAAACAATGTCTCTAACACTTCAACACAGAGCAAGTATTTCCCCAAACCATAAATTCTCTGCATTTCCTGAAGCAAAGTAGTCAGTGCTTTCGTACTGACATGATTTGTACTTACCTTTCTTGAATTCTTGGTTGATACATTTAGAAATTATTTACAAAACTAAGGTTCAAACTCCCTCAGGCTAAGTTGACTTGAGGTGAATATTGCTTTTCTTTTTAAGATCCTTTTGGTTACATACCTCCTCACATATTCAGATATTTGGTATGCACCAAATTTATAAAGTATTATCATCATAATCTTTGTTAATGAAGTACATACCTTTTACTTACAAATATTGGAGATGATGTGGTCTGTCTACAATCCCAGCCCTTTAATTTACAGTCATCACCACCTAATCAAAATAACAATTACATGATTCAATTAGTTTTAAAAATAAATGTAGCAAATAGTGAAAAGCAAAAATTCTGTAAATCATTTTATGTAAAATTCTGAAATTTAAACCACATGCATTTAAGTCCAGTTAACATCCAATGATAAGTCTATAATATTTTCTTTTCTGTGTTAAGTATTTACAAAATTAACACATTAAGAAACTCAACATCAGTTTTAATTGCTGTTGATGATGCAATATTTCCATATATTGCACATATTGACATTTGAAGACAAATGTTCTTTCAAAGTATATTTTCCTTCTTTGAAATCAACTTATAACACTTTAAATCCACTTTTGTTTAAATTTTCCAGATCTTTATATATTCATACTGTGGATTCATTATTATTCGTTGGGTACCAATTTTCGTGGATTTAGTTGGTACAGCTGAACCACAAATTAAGAAGTTCAACGAAATACAAATTTTCTATATGAATATATGCAGACTTTGGCAAAACCACGAAATCAAATATCCACGAAATTGCAAGTTTATCTCAATCCACGAAAATTGGTACCCATGAAAATAAATGAATCCACAGTAGATGGATGGAATTTTACAAGATATCAACTTGGGATGTAAACATGAAAATTAGATGTGAACACAAAAACCTGCTATGTTCTCTAACAACATGCTTAACAGTTTACAAGGAACAATTCTTACCACTGTATACAATATTTGTATTCCAGTAATTAAAAGCAGTTATCCAAGCTTCAAAATCATGTGCTTTCCAATTAGATGTACATTTCAGTTGACCTTGATGAAATTTACATATACTGATGTGACCATCTGAACTAGAACAACTTATTTCTGGATCTGAACTGAAAAAATATGGAAAGTAAATAATTACAAAGTTAATTACATTTTATCAAATAAAAATAGAAAGTCTTAAATTCAACTCTATATCAAATAATCCCAGAATAATGTCATTTGGTGGCATGATTTTTTAAAAGAATTGAAAATGTGGAGGCCTAGATTCTATGTAAGGACCTTTTAAAATGTCGTTTTAAGACTGATGGACCTTTCGAACCTTGCATGAATAATAAATAAATAAAACAGTATTTTATATGCCAGACAGACTAGTACGTGAAACAAAATTTCCAACATTTAATAAGATTAGAAATTAACATCATATCAAAGAAATTATCAACAGACAAATACATCTAATCAAACATCTTTTCTTTTTTTCTAAACATATGACAGAAGGCAAAAACAGTAAAAATTTTGTGAGTAAATGTCTTCCTGGAATAATGGTTAGACAACAAATCATGAATTCAAACAAGCTTATAACTCTAGATCTCATCTCCTGTAGTAATTGTAAAAATCTAAATATTATATACCAGAATCATTTTAAGCTTGTGTGATTTAATCTACACATTTTACCAATTTCAACAAATGTCATAATGATTTTAACATTTAAGAAAGCTAATTTAGAAGGACAGTACAGACTCCTGCAGTAATTGAAGATTTGAAGTTCATAAAATAAACAAAGCAAATTTAATATGTTTTACTTATAGCAAAAAGGAGTGGCTATTTGACTAAAATATTTTATTACGAACCATCTAGATATTCAAGTTGCAAAAATCAAATCAATAAACCAAAGATTTATGATAGTAGGGCTGTTTTGATTTGTTGATTGCTGAAGGTCACTTTCAAATCAAGCATAGAACAATGTGATATTTAATAGATAAACATCACAGTCAACTCTTGAATTAAAGTATAGTTAGGCTTCTCTCTAGGAACCATAAATTCATGGTTTATTTTTGTAAAGTCTAACTTTTGCTATATTGAAGAACAAACCTTTTTGCAAGTTTTTACTGTCATGTTTTTCATGTCTAATTATGATCTACCTTAACAAATAAAATATAGGCAGGGGGATATTGTAGCAATTTTATCTTATTCCCAAATTGCAAAAAAAGATACCTACTTTACAGGACAGATATATGCAATGCCTTAAATCAATCAAAAAGTAATCTGCACAATTTCCACAGTATGCAGTCTTCATCAAGATATATTCATTGTGTCATCATCTGTATTTTCTCTGTGTTTTTGTTGTTGTTTCATTATCCTAATGAACTTTTGAATAACACAGGGGACACAGAAATCTCACATGTAAGAGGGTCTGGATTGGTGTGTGGGAGGAGTCATTTCCCTATTTTTAGGACATTTTTCTTTATTTTTAGTACCTTGGCCCATTATTCTCTTTTTCTTTATATTTCAGTACCCCATTATTCACTATTCTCTGTTTTTTGGCATTATTTGCACTACTGTTTATATTTTTGGTACTTTATTCTCTATTTTTTGCCCATTATTATCTATTCTGTAAACCCCATCCAGACTCTCATTTAAAAAAAAATAGATAAACATACCTATTATGGACTCTGTTTGCCCAATCTAATGACAACCCTAACACTTGTTCGCCTAATTCTGTGGATGTGACAAAGTCTGTTTTATGATCTTCATTTAACTGATAGATCTGAAGCTGTCCTATAGAATTGACAAGACCAAATAATGATTGAGAATCTATAAATGATGGACACCATTTTATATCCAATATTCCTGGCATATCTGTGGTCTGTACATGTTCAAGGCTCTGGTTTTCTTGTTCTTGTTTAAGTTTATAGGTATGTAATTTTCCTAACCTTGTCTGTGGTGCAGAACTATCTTCCTGTAAATAAAGTATAAATATCATACGTCTATTATATCATCAAATAAAGTACCTGGTACACATTTTGATTGATTGATTGATGGTTTTTAACGCCACTTTCAGCACTATTGTTTTTTTTTTGCTGCAGTCAGTTTTTATTGGTGGAGGAAGCCAGAGAGCTCAGAGAAAACCACAGACCTTCAGTAGGAAAACTGTCAATCCTAGTCAATTAAGATTGGAGTTGAACACACCTGCAACATTTGGGTTTGAACTTACAACCTCAGCGTTGACAGGCTAATGATACAGGAGTTAAACTACATAGACCACTCAGCCACGAGGCCCCTAACACATTTTGAAGTGTTACTGGTAAGTATCAAACATAACTTGTATTAAGCCTTGGAATGCAGTACTATGAATTGGAGATATCATCCTTTGTCCATAGGTGAAATTGGTTCAACTGCTATTATGGACAAAGGAAGATAACTCCAATCTTAAAAATTAATTTAACAATGACATAGAACAGATACCATGCAAAATTTAATATTCTTGACAAGTATGGTTATACACATATACATTTTTTCTGTAAATGGAATATCTGAGTATGTATTTTATTGTTACATTTTTTAAATGTTCATCGGTAGGATGTATAGAATACTGTGCTCAATGCTCTTCTAAAAAAGAAGTGATAAAGACTAGAAAATTGATGACGATCAAGCCAGCTCCATAAGAGTTTTGATTGCATGAATACATTCTTTATTTTAAAACCATCAGTTATCTGATCTGTAATTTACTTCGTTTCCAGCTGGAGGGTGGGGTTTCTTTTTGATCAAATAATTTAAGTTGTTCAAAATATCTCCTTATGTTTTGTATACATATGGACCCTTATTCATGTTATTTATTTTCTAGATGAACTCAACATCCACTTTATTTCAAGTTGGTTATGATTATATAAAAACCTTCAAACTTGAACAAATAACTATATACATGTATCATGTTAAATTTAAAATGTATTCTAAATACAATTTAATAAAAGATAACAAACCTGTGTATCTTTAGACTGGTCTAACTGGTATGTACCACACAGTAAAATATCTTGATAACCATCATGTGGACACCATTCTACCGAGTCTGCACTGTATTCTGTATCTAGGACTTGTAATGTTTTTGCCATATTATCACACTAGAGAACAAACATAAAATATATACAAAGCAGTCACATAACTAAGAAAAAATTATTTGTACTTCACAAACTTACAGCAAAGGAGTTTTGAGGCAGCTAACAGGGCAGTAATACTATTCAATTGTCACAGTAATTTATTTTTATTGTTCAGACAATGTTGAATCCTGAATATTTAGAAATAAATGTACCTAAGCCCCTTCATAAATAAGGACTTAATATTATTTTACTTCACTGGGTTTTATTTTTAGTTTACTTTAAGTATTTGTCTCCTTAAGTGAAATATATCGACATACATACATCTATATTGGGGCCCTTTACAGTTTGCTGTTCGGTGTGAGCAAAAGGCTCCGTGTTGAAGACCGTACTTTGACCTATAATGGTTTACTTTTATAAATTTTGACTTGGATGGAGAGTTGTTTCATTGGCACTCATACCACATCTTCTTACATCTATCGTATACTTGCCGTATAATTAACATTATGAAAACCATGATCAAAATCACACAGATCAAAATTACCGGTAGATTAGCAGGAGCAAAATTTCAATACCTGTAAAACAATCTGTGCAGGTTTGGTGAAATTCTTTCATTTTGTCTTCAAGGAGTTTTTTGGTATTGGAAACCCTTAAAATCCCTTAGATCAATAAACTGTTACCACAGAGATATGTCTCACCTTTATTTTATTTTGATAGTATACATGTATAATGCAAATGTTAAAAATAAAATGGCAATATTTAAACCTGTATACTATGATTTGATTTGATTTTTTGTGTTTTAACGCCACTTTTAAGCGCCGCTTTTGGGCTATTTCGTGGCGGTCAGTTTTTATTGGTGGAGGAAGCCGGAGTGCCCAGAGAAAACCACCGACCTTCGATAGGATAACTGACAATCCTAGTCAATTAAGATTGGAGTCGAGTGCACCCGCAGGAGTGGGGTTCGAACTCACAACCTCAGTGTTGACTGGCTAGTGATTACAGTAGTAACTACTTAGACCACTCGGCCAACGAGGCCCCCTGCATACTATGTAAAACATTCAAGGTCAATGAACAATAAAAGAAGATGCAGGGCCAAATAACCTCCACGGAAATAAGAAATGCTAATGCTGATTAAACTGCATACCGAAACCATTGATTTATCATTAGTCGTTCACTTTAACTAAACTAAATGCATATTTTAGCATGTAAACTAAGGAAAAGTTTCAAAGTCAATGAGCCATGATGATGGCCAGGGCCACATAGTCTACATGAAAATGAGACTTGCAAATACTTATACAACTGCATACCAAATATCATTGACTTAACATAAGTGTTCATCTTATACTTACCTAATCACACACTTCAACATGTAAAATATGCAAAATATTCAATGTCAATAGGCCATGACTGTGGAGATTGGGTCTAATAATCTCCATGAAAAAGAGACTTGCCAATGCTGATACATTTGCATACCAAATATCATTGACGTATTACTTCATGACCTTGATTCCAGGGGAAGTAAACAATATACTATTTCTAACAGTTGGTTACTATTGTTAAGTGTTCCAAATAAAATTGAGAATGGAAATGGGGAATATGTCAAAGAGACAACAACCCGACCAAAGAGCAGATAACAGCCGAAGGCCACCAATGGGTCTTCAACGCAGCGAGAAAAACTTATGAGATTGAATGTCCCTTTGTTTTCTTTCTCTTCTCTTTTAGAAATAAGTATAATACATTGATATTAACTCAATCCTTCCTTATTAAAAGTGACTGTACTAGGTCAATTAGCTGATAATTATTCTTTTTTCAACCTTTTGGTAGTCATGGTAGAAGAGTTTCCCCAATAATGCAGATTAATTTTTGATAAATTCTACTCATAATAATTTGATCAATTTCTGCTTATAAGTAGCAAATGTCATAGATGATAAACATGTGCAAGTTTATTGCACACAAATCACTATCTTTTGCAAACCATACAGGTAAATGTTTACCAGCTACTATCTACTCTGTAGACTTAGCCATCCTGAACAAAACAAAGATTGTACGGTCATAGTCTCTTTAACTTGTGTCTTTTTGGTGTTGGTGATGGATATTTTTTATACGGTGTGGATTTTATTCCTAACTTGTATAGACTTAGAGACTGGTTCTAGTTTCCAAAAGGGTTATTGAATATTCTCTGTGCAGAAATTTAGTTCAATGTTGGTTGCTGGAATTGGATTGATGTTCTTTGTAAAAATTTCAGCTACACTGATAATTCAATAATGCAGTGAAGCTAAAAAAGCTACAATGTATACTAGTTATTTAGTCATTCTGAATACTGTTAATTCAGAAATTATTGCGATTTCTTTATTAATGCCATTAATGCGACTGAGAGTACACAATAATAAGAACTCACATTCTAATATCTGATACATAGATACATATATATGTATGCATATTTTCCCGAAATTGCAATAGTTAATCTTGCATTTCTGTCTATTCTTCAACATCGCAATAATTTCTGAATTTACAGTAACTCAAATTTCAATGTAAACTGATTATTCACTGAAACTGTCATCTAAATACCATTATTTTGCTAAGTTTGGGTTTCTGTACAATTTATAAGTTCTTCATTGTACTTGTAAACAGTCAGATGACAGTATAGATAAGATACATTATTAAACATAGTGATGGAATCTGATGCAACAAACAGCTGATGCCAAGAAAAACCAAATTTACTATGAATACTGCTTTAACTTTATTCATAAAATTACATTCATCCAAGTTCAACATGATTCCTTCCAGAGGATTTTTAACAATATCTAATGTATCAGGATTAAATAAATATGTACAACATTACTTACATAATCCATCACATGTCTATATATTAAAATGGCATTATCTGGTTCATTTTCAAAGTAAATCAAACAATTCACAAATTTGAAGTCAGTGTTTTTCCTACAGAGTCAATCCAAAGTGGAGCCCTACACTTTAAAATGTATGATCACTATTTATCCATTCAGCATGTTCATTTCCTACGCTTAAATCTTTTTTGAAAACACTAAAAGTTACAATCTGGGACATATCATATATATATATATATACTACCAAATTTCCTAAACATTCTATATCCTTAAATTATCAAGAAATGCATATGGCTGTTGACAAGATACAGATATCTATGTTGGAGATAGGTACACAAACTGTGGTAACAAGTTTTTCATCCTTAGATGAATAATGATAACCATTTTGTAATATTCATTTGACACCGAAGGTAAGCCCAATCCTCCAGAAAAAACAGTTTTATCAGATTTCAATTTACAAAGTTCGAGTTTGGGCTCAAACTGCACCTTCAACTTATAAGAAACATGAATATAAAATCCTTAGGTTGAGGGAACATGCATCAATTTAGAAATACATATCCTACAGCTGACCTCTAAAAGTATAGAGAGCCATTGGAGCCAAAAAACAGTATTTTGGGTAGAGGCTGTAATATTACTTATTTCAAAGGCATTTTTAAATAATAAGATGAAAATATTTTTGGAATTGAGAGGAACATGATAAAATATCAATATCCCCCCAAAAAGATTGAAAATGCCCTATAAATCAAAATTAGAAAATTCATTTCTGACTACAATGTACTTTTTAAATTCAGACTGAGACCTAATGCAATTAATCTATTGATAAGGCCAAACTGCCATGGATACATGTATATTCTGTGAAGGTGGGATGGTTTTCATTAATCTTTGCAAATAAGAGTCATTAAAGGTTATCAAAATGCCATGGTAATGCCATTTCAGATAGATAACATATTATAATTTGACACAACACTGTTCACTGTATTTTTAGTAATTTAGATTCAGGTAACAGACATCTACCTAAAAGTACATCTTTACAGTTAAAATGAGCATCTTTTCTTCAGTGATAACAAATTGATGTACATGCACAATTGCTCAAACTTGTAGTACACTTACCGCCAGAAGCCTAACAATACATGTGTACAATGTACAAGTAAAAAAAAATTGTTTAGAACATGCTGAATATTTACTTGTATAAGCATCATAAGTGAAATCATCAAATTACTACTAAAGAAGTTTTCGCATTGTTTAGAACAAGTACCAGTTAACTTTATTTACCAGTTAAATTGTGTATCTCATTTTTCTGCTAGATCAAAATTCTAATCACCAATCTGTTGCATTTATCAATAAAGATTCATTTATTCAGAATTAAAAGTCTATGCTTAATTAAAAACTTTTTTTCCAGCAGTTAGCTAAACAAAAACATTACAGTTTTTAAGTGACCTATTTTCAAAGGCCATGCAAACTACTTATAAAGCTGTGTGTATTCTTTTTATTTGTGCAAAGATAAAAGGTTGAACTGTTGTTGAAAAAATGTTATAAATCAAGGGACAAAATTCTCAAGAATGTTTCTATCGGGTACATTGCATAGATTGTGAATATTTATCCTTTAAAAAAATACAACGTCAAGTAAATTTTTGCAGAGAGAAAAGGGGGATAATTTATTAAAATGAAAAATTTACTTCTGGAACATGTAGAGGTAAGAATTTGTTTAACTTGTATAAGCCTTTATTAAGTAATGCCCCTATAGCCAACTGATGGTAGACAAAGCTTAGATAAGTTATCATTGGTCTTCTGAACTTCAATTTCTTACAACATGATTATATTCTTAAAAATATATATTTACAAGATGTGTAGACAAATCAAAGAATAGACATGATAGAAGATCTAGATTATGTGATTTAATAAGAGGATATACATGTAATTTCATCCAAAAATGTCTTCTTACAAAACTATCATTTTACAGATTTTCAAAAAACTTTCATATATACTTAAAATAAAATGTACATGTATAACAATTAACATGTTGCAGAAACACAACCTTCAAAATACTCATACAATTACACATCATGTACATGTATATCATGTATATATTAACTTTCAAAACATGATTAATAAATAATAGAAAAGCTGTTTAAGTTGTCTATTGTTATAGTTTCTGCTAAAACTTTAAACAAATGGATAAATTTGTAATTTAATTCGTCATAAATATTAATTAATATAAATACAATGTACATGTGTACTTGTGTCTTTTATAATTATTTTTTAATCTTGCTCATAATTAAATTGAATTCACACAATAGATTTACATCTTCTACATGTACATTAAATTAAAGCCATGCCTCAACATGTGATGAATATTTAACAATGATATTGATAATAGTCTTAGATAGCTCTGTATTTTGATTTATTTTCCTACAATGTATAAAAATGATGTATGAACACATAAAACTATATTCTTTTTCAAATAATCAAGATCCTTAACTAATTCCTTGCACTTCTTTCACATTCCATTAAGCATTCTCTAACTAAAATCCGAGCATGAACTATTCCCCGCTTTAATCTTTCTGCAGACATTTTACTTCCAGAATATGTTGGTCTAATGTCTTTACCCATGTCTTCGATGACTGCTAATAATTGTGTGTATTTGCTTTGAGACTGGTGTCCCAGAGGAAACTGTGATCCCTGCATTTGTGCTAACATATGTTGTTGCTGAAGCTGTTGTTGGTATGGATTCATAGCTTGCCCTCCTCCCATCATCTTCTGAGGAGGAGGTGTGGCTCGGACTTCCTGTTCAGATCTAGGGGTTCCTGGATTACTCACAGCAGGAGAGTTGCTATCTTCCTCCATGGCCTTCTGCAAAATTCAAATTAAAAATGGTCAAACTTTTACATGTTTTAGATCCATTTTTTTAATATAAGTTATATGTATACAGTAATGGTAAATGTCAGTACCATTACTATTATTGAAATTCTCAATGGAATACATTTTACAGCATGGAATATAAAATAATAAACATTATCAGGAAAATGATTGATTGTTTTGAATAATGCAAAATTCATGTTGCCGAACAACAATAAACTCATCTGGGATCACCCTTATAAATTTTAAGAAACTTTTTAGCTAGACAAGACAGTTTGGTATTGACTCCCAGCCAAATAGCGTTAAACTGGACTTCATCAAAGGGCTGATGGTTAGGTTTCATTTTTCGTTCAACTTGCAGTCTTGCACCATACATTCCATACAATGTATGTATTATAATTTTATGGTGGACTTAGATCTGTTATTCAGAAAAAGAGCTATGTATATGGTTAATTCATAGACTTTATACTTTTTCCATGCCTAAGGTTGCCTAGTTGGGCCCCCCCCCCCCCCCCTTATTCTTCTCTTCAACATACTCAATGTATTGTTACATGCACTATGCACTATGCAATGTAATTTACTGACATGAACAGACATACATGTATGACATACATTGCATGTTTATCACTACAATACATATATGTGAATACACATGTATACAATGTATAAATATATTTCTATGAAATCATCATTCATGTAAAATCTAAATGTATGTGTACATGCTTAATCATGTTAACAAGTTGAACTTACAGCTCTATTGATGCCTAAATTTTGAATTGTACTGACTGTTTCTTTTGAAGGATGAGATTCTGAATTATTTTTTGAATTATTGCATTCATTTCCATTTTGAGATTCAATTAACTCCATGCTATCTGATTCAGATCCACAAGCATCTGCATCAATAACATTTTCTAATATAGAAATAAACTTTGGCACTTCAAGTTTTCTTTTCATTTGGCTTGATCTTCCTCTTTTAGGTTTCTCTACTGGTTCCAGAATCAAATTGTTTATAGGGTTAGAATTTTCATGTGTAGGTCTCCCATCAGGAAAATGTTTTGAACAAACCCTACTATGACTTTTTGGAGCCCAGCATTCTCCAGTTTCAGGATCTGTCCTGTTGATTAAGTTTATCCATTCTTGTCTCCCCTTAGGATTTTTTCTCTCTGTTGGAAATGGAAATAATTTGAAAGGAGGATCACAAACACATCTAGAAGTTCCAAAGTTACATTGGTGAATTGGACACCAGTCACCCATCCACTTTTGGAGGTGATAAGTTGAGTTTCCACAGTTTAAAACAGCACATAACTTCATCTTGTATCTCAAATTCCCCAGCTTCCCTACAAAGGTCAAGGAATTTGGTGCTCTGCACCTTATTCCACTTGACCCTTGAACTTTTAACGCATGCATGCACTGCTCTTGTAAACCTCGCCCACAACAAAAATTTTAATTACAAAGAGTACATGACTCTTGGACAAATATAAATAAGTAATAAAAGGAGAGATTGGGGAAGGGATAAAATGTCTATATTCTTTTAAATATTAACCTTTATGTCTTGTTATGTCATGTAAAGACGAGCTCTTTGTGTTGTTGTGCTTACAAATAAGGAAGTCGACGTGTTAAAAGATTTAAAAAAAACGAAACATTTTTATTTCAAATATGTTTTAATGCACATGCAATTCAATCATCAAAATTTGTGAATGTTATTCAATTTTAAACTTATAGATAAAAATTCAAAAATAATGCAAATTGATGAGGAAGATGAACATAAATAATGCTTAATTTCGTTTTGTATATTTTTACGGTTTTTTTACAGAAAAGTAAAATGGCAGCTTCTAGAAACGGTGGTGTTGACAGAGTTCTAAGAAAATGTCAATCATGTGTTGATGCCGGCAATTTTTACGAAGCTCATCAAATGTACCGGACTCTGTATTTCAGGTACAGCAAAGTGAATTGGAACATGTGCTTAAAGTATACCAGTCAAACTAAGAAACGGAACATATGTGCAACTGAAAATTGAAGTTTTTTTTTCGGACAAGGGGATTCCCAATATTCGGCATCCTGTATGATTTCAGTATTCATATCCAAAAATTGGTTTAATTTCGATGAGAAACTTCCAAAACATTTATTGAGCTTTTACTATATATAAATGTCCATTTAAGAAACCGGTTGGGACACAGGTGACAGGGGCTCAGGAATCTTATTTTAAAATGTAAATAGCAATATAGACATTTTCGCTATTTGGGAATCTGTGACAGTTGAACTATTGAGTTGTACTTCAACTTGTACAACAATCATTTTTCCTTTGAGGCATCAGACATTTTCTATTGTGATGTCCAGTAATCAGTCTGGTAGTGGTAATGACGGACAAATAGATATAAGGTGTATGTGCACTATTAGTGTTTCTTACAGCGTTTGAAAAGGGCAGGGTAATTTTTTTCTCAGAGGGCACTCTAAGTGTGATTTGCTACACTTTAAGGGCACCCTTTGCGCCGAGGACTACACTTTTAGGGCAAACTGTACATAGAGATAAAGGCACTGTAATGGATAGGGATTTAATCGAATATACCATTGTTTCATATTTATTGGTAAGAAATAAAGATATGTATATTAGGATGTTAATTTAATTCTTTTTTGTAATGAAATTATCACTTCTAGACTCAGCTAATAGAATCTTGATCATGTTCATTGTGCAACTGCCTTATTTCAATAACTCCAGTTGTAAACTTTAATACTGGATCACTGAGACTGATTGTCTCAGGATACATGTATGTTTTGAAAGTGGACTTTGTATGACCAAGAGCATTTGCAATGTATTGCTTTTTAGATGCACAAAAGAAGTGCCAAATACCTTTTGGATCTCGCATTTTTATACCAATCAAAGCTACATGTACCTTGGCTCATAACTGTACAAATAGTTTTAGGATATTCAAAGATTTGTATAGCAAGACTTAAGCTTACTATACATATTTTTCTGCTTTTCATCTTTTTTTCTATCTGTTTTTCTTAATTGAAACATTGATTTTTTGTACATGTACTATTTAAAACTGTATCAGCTATATTCTTAACTTTAATTTTATTAAGATATCAACAGTCATGACAGTTTGAAAGCCGTCGAAAATTCACACCCAATCTGACGTCTCCACCGACCAAATAGTATAAATAGAAAATATAAACAAACATCGTATAATTTGTTTATGTAATCAGTGGTAATGTTCATCCCATGCATCGTAAAATTATAACTCAAATGATCGCCTGGTTCCCTTTTAAATTGCATTTTTGTCTTCATTTTAAATTCTTAGAGGTACAAATGTACAAATCAATGTTGTCCCTATTACATGTATATTCAATAATGAATCATATTTGTACTATGTCGCTTCAAAACTGTTCAAACATAATTACGAAATTCAATAAAATGCCGGCCATTAAAAATTTGATTTCTTTCCAAGGGAAATAACTTAAAATGGTCTTGCTAAAAGATGAATTGCAGAACCCATAATAAATAACGGCGTGGTGTTCTAAAATACGACGGAAAAGGGGCATGGCGCTATATTTTTTTCCTAAAAAGGACAGGGCGTCAAGAAAATATGACAGGGTACCATACCTCGCCAAAACCTCCTGCAGGAAACACTAACTATATACATGTAACCAATAAAAAAAATTGGGGAAAAAATACAATTTTCCATTTTCCTAGTGATTCATTGGGTTTGGTATGTTTAGAGCACATTACAATGAAATAAAAGATTCCTGAGCCCCTGTGGTTAAGAAAATTTCTCATTGATGGGTATTCTATTATAATGAAGTCCAAATAATTATCAGTTCAGGAATAACCATTAATTGGTAGATTAAAGCTCAATTGAGGTATAATCCACCATTTGACATAGATTGAGATACACCAATTGAGGTATAATGCAGTTTTTATCCAAAAACATTTTGAAAGATACAAATGTATTGGAGCATCTTTTTGCATTTACATACATGTATATATGTACCATACCAAGCTGTGATGACCACTTAGAGATGGCGTAATTTATTCTGACACTTCGTGCTGCATTTTGTTAGAGAAACTCAAAAACTAATATGACCCTCCTTTTCCTACTTATGAATTCTGAGTTTTCATCTCTTAAATTTGAATTTTTGTTCTGTAGTCTCTTCCTGTCCATTTCGACTAACAAATCCTAAAGTTGGAACTGATGCAGACTCAAGGAAACTAGTTGTGAAAATCCATCAATTAGTGGATTATAACCCAATTAAGGTATAATCCACATTTTCACAAAACGCAGCACAGGAACAGGAAGCCAGAAGCAATTATATGTCTCCAATATAATAAATTCCAGTCTAACATGTTACAGGGGGATTAAAAGTCTAGGAATTGTATGGAAATTCCAGTCTAACATGTTACAGGGGAGATAATAAGTCTAGGAATAGTATGGAAATTCCAGTCTAACATGTTACAGGGGAGATAATAAGTAAAGGAATAGTATGGAAATTCCAGTCTAACATGTTACAGGGGAGATAATAAGTCTAGGAATAGTATGGAAATTCCTGTCTAACATGTTACAGGGGAGATAATAAGTCTAGGAATAATATGGAAATTCCAGTCTAACATGTTACAGGGAGATAATAAGTAAAGGAATAGTATGGAAATTCCAGTCTAACATGTTACAGGGGAGATAATAAGTAAAGGAATAGTATGGAAATTCCAGTCTAACATGTTCAGGGGAGATAATAAGTAAAGGAATTGTATGGAAATTCCTGTCTAACATGTTACTTCGTGCTTGAAGATATTGATTTGATAATTGGTGTATTGTTTAATCATGACAAGTTACAGATCAAGTTCAAATTTTGTTCCGGTCTGATGATTTTGTGCAGTTATGGTCCTTGGACATAGAAAATTCACTTAAATAATCAATTTTCCACATTTTTTTTTTCGTCATGCTTGAAGATATTGACTTGATATTTGTTATATAGTTTACACCATGACAAGTTATAGATCAAGTTAGCATTTTGTTCCAGTACAATGAATTCTTAACCGGTAGGGGACCGTGTATTGCCAGGCAATACTCACAGAATGCTTGTTTATCAAGGCTCACAATTATTCTTAGTAATTTGACAGACAGCTACATGTACAAGAAAACATCTGTGCATGCCAGTTTAAATTAAGAAAAAAAATATGAAATTAAAAAAATCTATGAAATTAATTTCTAGTTATTACATTAAATTCATTTTCCTTTAAAAGTTGCTGAACTGACCAAATTTCTGCTTAATGTATTTCCAGATATAATGGACAGAAAAAATACACAGAGGCCTTGAACCTCATATACAATGGAGCTGTAACTTTACTTCAACATAACCAGGTAAAGTTTAAGTGGAATTAATAGATATACATGTAGATCTGTGTCATGTATTTGTATAGAAGAAAGACAAATTGACGTAATAGACAATGTGGCAGGTTACTAATAATCTTACACAACTGCATACATGTACTTGTAGGCATGATAGTCTTGAATAAGAAACCTTCAAACTTTCAAAGTTTATTCATTAAAAAAGAGAGGGAGCAAATACCAAAGGGATGCATTCAAACTCATAAGTCAATGCCAAACTGACAAAGCCATGGCAAAAAAATAAAAAACAACCAAAAGACAAACAACAGTCTATAAATCAGGATTTTAATATATGGAAAAGAAAGAAGAAATAGGAAATTGATATAGATACTCTAAGGCAATTTTAGTCCACATATTTTTATGTCAAAATCTAATGTTACATTAATTTTCTTTATCACTTAAACACATTTTGTTATTGAATGTTGTTATAATGTAAACATATTACTACAGATCTAGGAGGTGATTTCTTCTCAACTTTAAAGGGCAAGTTAAAATCTGGAAGGGCAAATAAGTAAAGAAAAGTGTTAGTCTGCTTGGCCAGAAAAAATAAGACCTTTGAAAACATAACTTATAAAAACTATGTAGTACTTATTTTCATGTAGCTTTAAACTTGATTTGATTCTATATCATGGGTTAAAGAAATATTAGTTATGACTGCCTGCAAGATAAAACGTTACCATACGTGTATTGAAATCTAAAGCACTGATCATAAGGATTAATAGTTATTCTGAGAATTTTATACACATACTGAATGAAAATGTTATGCTGTTTTTGTTTTTGAATTATAGATACATGTACACACATGTTCTATCATAAAAATGTGAACTTTGTATATATTTTTTGCTGGCATAAAATTAAAATTTGTATTATTTTTACTCTATATCTTACTTGCACAGCATTCAAGTGGAGCAGATTTAGCTATGTTGATGATAGAATTGTTGAATAATTCTATGCAGCAAGTGACAGATGATACAATAGGTAAATATAGACTGCTAAGCGAAAAAAATAGGTAAACATACATTGATTAGCGAAACAAGAGGTAAATATACATTGAAAAGCAACTTGAACACAATCCAATAATTTACTGAGGCAACTACAAAGGTATCCTGCAAAAGACCAAAGGACAAGGGTGTAATCACCTACTAGTCTTCATTTTCTCATTGTTGAAGGCTGTACGGTAGCCTATAACTGCTTACATCCACTTCATTCGAACTTTGGTGGATAGTTGTCTCATTGGCAATCATACGGCATCTCCTTATTTTTATATTCATACTGACTTCAACAATGAGCAAAACCATAAGATTTGAAAATCCATATTCTTCTTTATAGTTTTCGTCTGGAAAAAACCCTATCCACTTATTATTTGTTTAAAAAGGCTTCTAACATCCTCCCTCCCTTTGCAGTCATTTTTAAACTGCCATACCAGTAAGCTTATGACCACTATGTTAGGTTTGAGACTTGTTATAACCGTTGCCAAAAAAAAAGAGAAAGGGTGCACTTGATTAACAGTTACGTGTGAATATTTAAAAGATGCTTTTTAAATGTGGTTTACCCAAAGCAGCACACTAACTACCATTAAATTGTATAAATATGAAAGTAAACATAATCAATTTGCAAAAATTATATTTTGTTTATATTTCAGATAAAGTTCTACAGATATTTAACCTACTAAATGCAGATTCAGCAGAAAAACACAATTTTATGATAGCTGCAATTCGATGGTCAATGAATGTTAGTCAACACAAACGTGGACATCCAGATCTACATCAAAAATTTGGTCTTGCTTTTTGGAAGGGTAAATTTTACTGAAAAAGTGAACACTATTAGAAAACATGTGAATTATAGATATTTTTTGATTATTTAATTTATTGTGTGGATATTGCTTTTTTTTCTTTTTGTATTTTGTAACATTATAACACATTTGATCAACATGTTAGTGACCAACATGGTCAGAAAAAAATACATGAAATGCTGGTGTTTGTGTATGATTCATTCTGAAACAACTGTATATTCAGTAGACAGGGTCATAAATCAGAATGCAAACATCTTCAGTTATTAGCAGTTGATTGAAATCAGACAAATAGGACCTAAAGTTAAAAAAAACAAATACATTATTCCAACTTTTAATATCTAATCGGGCATACTGTTCAGTATAGCATTATATGTGGATAGTTTTGTTTATTTCAAACCAGAAGCAATACAGCTTATAGGTATATCATAAATATATACATGTATATCATAACAGAACATTCTAAATACAATCGGAGGCAAGACTACATAGTATAAATCATTCAGAGGATTGTCATGAAAATTTTATATCTGTGGCGTTTTTCAAATAATTTCCTAAATTAGACAATTCCGATACATTCTTTGTTGACAATAACTGAACTAATTTAAAAACATATGCATTTGTATAATAATACCTTTTAATATACAATTTTCTTATATTGTCATATTTTGGACATTTTAAAATAAAATGAAACTCATCCTCGATATCACCATGGTTACATAAAATACATAATCTTTCATTTCTTGCTCTTTTTATGAATCTACCATATTCAATATTTAATTTGGGGGAACACAGTCTATACTTAGTTAAAAATCTAATACATTGTGGACTTAATTTTTTTGTCAAATAAAACTGCAATTGAAAATTATCCACAAGATGTTTATAAATAGTACATTTTGATGATGAATCGAAAAAAAATATTTCTTTCCTGAAGAAAATGGTCAATAAGCCTTTGTTTGAATAGAATTAAAAATACTTCTTCACATACAACATTCTGTGCATATAAATGTATATGTTTAACTAAAACTGCATAACAGAATGAGAGATTTTTTTCTTTGAATTAATTTCTGACAAGAAAATCATAGCTTTCCCCTGGAGTGAGTTCTAAGATAGTCAACAATTAGCATCTTAATTTTTATAATCAGACTTTAATCTTCCAACAATGACACTTGTAGCTGAGGTTTGCCTTCAACTAATCTTTAAATTACATTTAGAGGACCTATTTTTGGCAAGAAACATTTTAAGCTTTTCAGAGTTGTGTAACTTGTGTATTTACTTTAAAAAAGTATACATATTTTGTTTTGGTTCATCCCATCAGTCATTTGATTTCTGGATGCTAACTCCAATTCTTTATATTGGATGGCAACCATACTCATTTAGATGGTGACATATAATAAGGGGAAGATCCTTATTGATTTTGAGGTAGCTAAGTTCAAGATCAATGTCATAGTTACAAAAATCCACTAAAATTTGTACAGAAAAGTGGTTTCCAGATTCTAAATAAAATACTACATATGGGATTGCAACCGTCCCAAAATGGGGGCAAAGTGTTTATTTCATCACATGAGTCGCGAGTTTACGATTGTGAACATTTAGATATATCAGGCAATTGATTTATATTATTGGCAACTCTAACTTTGCTTTTGATACAAATTCAGTTAATTTTAAACTTTACGACGGAAATAAAATGACTTAGGGTCTAAAACAATATTACTGCCTGAAATCATAACTGAAAAGAATTATATATCGTCAGGTTAACCCCAAAAAACCTAAGCCATCAGGTCAATATAAGCTGTTCATCCTTATATGGGGGTGTGGGGTATGTGGACTTGCTCTTTAAATTTTTCATTCTTTCAGACAAGAATTATTCTCAGGCCAGATACCACTTTATCCATTCCGCAGATGGTGATAATTGTGCCTTGATGTTGGTAGAATTCCACGTAAACCATGGATACTCCTCTGAAGTTGACATGTTCATAGCACAAGCAGTTTTACAGTATGTTAATATGATGATTTCATTAAGTCTCATGTTGTATTTGTCTAAGACTAGTTTCTGCCCATGTTAACCTGTAGATTGATTGATTGATTGTTCGGTGTTTAACACCACTTTCAGCACTATTGGCTATTTCGGGGTAGACAGTTTTAATTGGAGGAGGAAACCAGAGTTCCCTGGAGAGAACAACCAACCTTTTGGCAGGAAAATTTGCAATCATAGTCAATTAAGATAGGAGTCAAATGTACCTACCATATGAGAAGATGATAGATTACTTAATTATAGATGAACACTAAGATGCTTAAACAAAACAATTACATGGCAGACATGAATTTATTTACTGATTAAAAAAAATATTTTCATGAATAGAAACTTTGAAACTTTTTATTTCCCTAAAGACCTCACATGAGGTATAATAGTACAAACAAACAATAAAAACAAACTTAATGTATGAACTAAATTAAACATACCTACATGTACAGAATTGTCAAGGAAGGTAAATATCACTTAAATATAGACATTATAATTTTACAGAACTTGGATAAGCCAAAAAGAATGAATTTATTCTCACTATTTATTTAACTTTACATATCTCTGCAGGTAAAAAATTTGTCTATCAACATTGAAGAAGGTACAGTTAAACATATAATGAAATTCATCACCCAATTCTTCGTTATGTAAATCAAAAACTCTTTCTGATCACAAAACTAATAAAATCTACCCTATTCAATGGGAAACATGCACACCGCATCTAAATTTACATAAGTTGTGTCTCATATCAAAAGGTTATACAGTTAAGTCATTTTCCATACCAATTCAGCCTTATACATTCTATGATTTAAACATTTAGATGAATTAGATATTTTACGCTTCCAATCGTTTACAAACACAATTAATCATGGTAAAACTGTTTCATATTTTTAGATAAATTACAATATTTTCCCACAAATTGATTTTTGCAAGCTTCAACATATTCATGTTTAGTTAATATATCTTTTAAGTAATTGAACCATTTAGAATGATAAACATCAACACAGTCAAGCCTATACAGCATTTCATACAGTGTGTAAGAAAATAGATAGGTTTAAATTAAAACAATTTGAGCAAGAGTTACTTCCCTTTTATTGCATGTTTGATGTGTGCAAATTCATTCATAAATCAGCCATTTTTATACGACCGCAAAAAATTTTTTGGGATCGTATAATGGTATGATGTCGTCGTCGACTGAAGACACATTGGTTACCGGACATTAACTTAAGTTTAAGTTAATGGATCTCTATGAAATTTTTTAAGAAGGGTCAATACCACAAAAGGAAGGTTGGGATTGATTTTGGGGATGATGGTTCCAACCGTTTAGGAATTAGGGGCCCAAAACAAGCATTTTTCTAGTTTCAGGATAATAACTTGTGTATAAGTATTTCGATTGCTCTGAAATTGTACCACAATGTTTAATACCACAAGTAGAAGGTTGGGAAACGTTTTAGGGGTTATGGGGCCAACAGTTTAGGAATTAAGGGCCAAAAAGGGTAAAAAAACAAGCATTTTTCTAGTTTCCAGACAATAACTTGTGTGTAAGTGTATGGATCTCTCTGACATTGTACCACAATGTTCCATATAACAAAGGGAAGGCTGTGATGGAGTTTGGGGTTATTTGCCCCAAACATGTAGGAACAAGGGGCCAAACAAGGGCCAAAAACCAAGCATTTTTCTAGTTTCCAGACAATAACTTGTGTTTAAGTGTATGGATCTCTCTGAAATTGTACTACAATGTTCCATACTACAAAGGAAAGGCTTGGATTGAGTTTTTAGGTTATTGCTTCAAGGAAAGTTCAAAAAGTTGGGGGGGGGGGATTTTTCTTTCCAAATATTTTAAGGGATTCATTTTTTTTTTTCAAAATTTTTCAAATTTTGAATTTTTGAAAAGTTTCAAGAAGAAATCTTCAATTGCACAGTATTGCGCAATAAATTTGTTAGATCTTTGACCACATTTGCTTTGTGTCAGAAACCTATATTATGTCAAAAATTTGATCACAATCCAAATTCAGACAGTATCAAGCTTAAATATTGTGTCCAAATTTGCCCAAACTGTTCAGGGTTTGACCTCTGCGGTCGTATCAGGCTGGGCTTAGCGAAGCATTTTATAGTTTGTTATAATGATCGCTAGACTTTAGAAAAAGGGTCTTCAGCAGGAAAACTGACAATCCTAGTCAATTAAGATTGGCTGCGCCTGCCACATGTTCAAAGTCATGTGTCTGTAAAAGATGATAAATTAATTAAAGATGAACACTAAGAAGCTTACACAAAACATTTATGTGGCTGACATGAATTTATTTACTGTTTAAAAAAAAAAATGTAAATAGAAAGTTTTTGATTGACACAATTTGAGCAAGAGTTACTTCCCTTTTGCTGCATATTGGAGGTCTAAATGCACAAATTCCTTCATAAATCAACCAAATTTAACTTGTTATACTGACTTCTAGACTTTAGAAAAAGAGTTTTACTGAATTTTTTTATATTTTTATTTCTTTTAGCCTTGCTTAATTCATCACTCTGATCTATTAAGGATCACTTATCAAACTTGTGTGTATCCCATGTTTCAATTTGGTTAGTTATATAAGACCATCAACTGTTTATCTCTCCAAAATAGTGGCCAAGGAACATGAATCAAACTCAAATTACATCTTTCCAAACCGATCTATACTTTATATTGAGTATAGTCCCCTCTAGCGAAGGGGCAGTTTAGTTTTTCAATTTTCTCATTTCCTTGGTTCATTTAAAGAAAATGTAGATCATATCAGACATATGTACACAATTTGTAGATTTATATGAGGCAAACTTTCACAAAATGTAGTTGAGCATGAAACAATCTTTAGACACTGTATCCATCATGTAGCATATGAAGGAATTCTGTAAGTTACTACAATGTATCAGAAAATATGAAGAGAAGATTGTGCATGTGCATGCACGTCTTATAAGTTTATAGATAAATACTTTCTGGGGTTACATAAAACCAAATATATACTTCAAGAATCAACATGTTAAAGAGAATATGAATTCATTATTAAATATAACATTCTTTATTAAATTTTTTTCCAGATATTTATGTCTACAGAATAAAGATACTGCTCTGATAGTGTTTACCAATTATACAAAACAGCACCCAGCAGTGTGTAAAGGGCCCCCCTATTTACTGCCTTTACTGAATTTTGTATGGTTTCTTTTATTAGCATTAGATGGGTAAGTGTAAATGACTAATGTTAAAACACAGTTACAGTGTTTTGAAAATCTGATTACATTACTGTAAATTCAGAAATTATTGCATGCATTTATTATTGCGATTTTTGAAGAATGGACGAAAATGCAAGATTAATATTTGCGATTTCAGGAAAAGCTGCCTACAGACATATGTATCAGATATCATAATGCGACTTCTTAGTATTGCAATACGCATCCAGTTGCATTATTCACATTAATAAAAACCTCGCAGTAATTTCTGGATTTACAGTAGTTAACTCACCTGATTACTTACCTATAGCAATATCTCAGTGCATCTCAGAGCAGTAGTTACATCATGAGGTTTAGATTTTTTAATGAAGGAAGTTTATTAATATTTATTTTTAACTTATTTTTTAAGAATGACATCAGGTGCTGGTTTGTTGCCAAGTGGCCTGTGGAAAACATTACAAAAATATAAACAGCTATACAATTAAAAAGTGAAATTTTTCTGTGCACCTATTTTTTTCTTTGTTTCTTAATATTGAAAAGATGGTAAAATGAAAATTTAAAAAACAGTAGATGAAATAGATTCTCATCTTAATATTTTTTTTATTTTAGGGGGAAGGTTACAGTGTTTTCTATTCTCTGTGATAAGTATGAGTCTTCTATCAAGAGAGATCCAAGTTATAAAGAGGTAAACGGAAAATTTAAATCATTTGTTGTCAAGTTGGTCATGTAGGTGTTTATATTATATAAATGCAAAATTTGTTTTAAATTAAAAATGGCTTTTTTGCATAATACTTGCTACTTTATTTTTATGCCTCTGCCGTAGGCAACGGGGGCATTAAGTGTTACCCTTGACGGTTCGTCCGTCCATCCCATTTTCGTTTCTGCATTGTAACTTTAGTTTGACTCGTGCAAATTTAATGAAAGTCATACACAATGCTAAGAACCACAAAATGCAGACAGAGTTTGAATTTAGTTGTGAGTCATTTACTGTTCTAGAGTTATGCCCCTTTTTAACTTGGAAAATTGCAAAGCTTGAGCGGGGGTACTTGTGTCCTCAGACACATTCTTCTTTTATTTAATGTTAATTTTATATATTAAGAATGTAAGCTATGATGTTCAGATTTGCAGCATTTTCTAAGATTTAAAATTTTTCCAGAGATAATGTGCATTCACTGTACAATACACCAACTTAGATATAGAAATGTGTGCTTGTTTGTTTTGTATATACCAGTAGGTTGCTGTGCAAATTTAAAAAGCAGTTTTAAGGCAAATTCCCCCAAAATTAATCTAAAGAAAAGTTAAAAATATGAACAGCAAACACCATTCAGAAAGTAGATTTTTAAATAAAATCAAAACTTTCATTGTAATGATAGACTTCTCGCTGCGTTGAAGACCCATTGGTGGCCTTCAGCTGTTATCTGCTCTTTGGTCGGGTTGTTGTCTCTTTGACATATTCCCCATTTCCATTCTCAATTTTATTGAATTGAACAAAAAAAAAAGAAACTGTTTATTTTGCATTGTCATAAATTGAATGATAAGGCAGCCTTGTGATACCGCATGGGATTACACATGTTATGGCATTACTTTTTATTTTCAGTATTTAGATAAAATTGGTCAATTATTCTTTGGATTGCCACCACCAAGGAAAAGCCAACAGGGCATGTTTGGTAGGTAAACCTTATAATATAATAAACATTTTACAATGAAAAATGAGAATTCTTTAATTGTTAGAATATATTTTATTATAGCCCTGCAACGAAGTTGTCGGGGCCATATAGTTTTTGTCAAGCCTGCGACTTTTGTGGCAGAAAGCTCGACATAGGGATAGTGATTCAGCGGCGGCATTAACTAACTTCTTAAAAGCTAAATATTTCAGAAGGCAAAAGACCTGGATGCTTCATACTTTGTATATAGATGCCTTATGATATGAAGTTTTCATCTGTCATATGTCCATTGTCCTTGACCTCATTTTCATGGTTCATTGACTACTTGAAAAAAAAAGGTTAAGATTTTTTGTAATGTTAATTTTTCTCTTATTATGAGTAATAGGAGAACTATATTTGGTATGTGCATACCTCGCAAGGTCCTCATGTCTGTCAGATAGTTTGCACTTGACCCTGACCTCATTTCATGGATCAGTGTACAAGGTTAAGTTTTCGTGGTCAAGTCATTATCTCAGAAATTATAAGGCCAGACATTTTTTATTATCTGTTTAACGAGATCCGCCGACTCCACTTTGATCGATTTCAGAATAAAAATAAAAGTAGTGCTTCTTACTTTTATTTTTATTTTTCCCGCCGACTGTAACGAAATCCTCAGAACAAAATAAAATCTGTATAAATCGGTAATATTTAATTTTTACTAAGTCGATGAAACAGCAATTTTCATTTAAAAGTAAAGAAATTCAAGGCAGAAACGATATATTTTCTTTAAAAAAGTTTTTTAAGCCGGTTGCATGTTTTTCATACAACACGAGAGCTTACATCAAATCATTCTAACTTTCGACAAAATCAGTTATTACTTCATCAGAACTTGATGAAATTAGCCTGAAGTAAACTTGTTATCCATGTATTGCATTAAAAACGTCATATTCCTTTCCAAATAGCGTATCAAACATCGTTTATTTTTGTAAATTTTACTTCGTCCGACATTTATATTATTGGGCATATTATTCTAGAACTACGAATCGGAGTCGGGATTTCATCGGAAACAGACCCGCTATGACCGAAATCCGGATTCTTGCGATAATGACTACGGACGCATGAATGGCACTGCTGATAGACAAAAAATTATCCAAAAGGAAAAATTACGCATTCCACACCCATTAACATCAATTTATAAATTTATTTAACATATATTAGCCTGTATGACTTTATTTCAATAGTTAAAGTTTATTATATGTCATGTAAAATACTGTATGTTGTATCAATTATATATGTTATGTGTATATGCCCCCCTGGGGACCTAATTTGGAAAATAAAACTTATCTTATTTATCTTATCTTATCTTATCTTATCTTATCTTATCTTATCTTATAAGTTAAATTTGCTCAAACCTGGGACTATTACACCAGAGACATATATCAAGTTTCAAGTTTTAATTAATCTTTTTTTATTAAATTTAATATACACATGTGTATATTTGTCTCTGCATACACTAAGAGGTTCCTGACTGGGTGACAGGTATATACATATAAAGTGTATATGCAGCAGGTTGATATATTTGCCTTGTGCTATGGAACTATATTTGTGGAAATACAGAATCAAAACATAGTTTTTATGTTCATATTAATAGAAAGGTTACTATGCTGGTCTGTTCTCATTTCATTGTTCTTGTATTTTAATAAATTCTAAAAAAAAAAAAAAAAAAAAAGGTCACTTATAACGGTTTTATTTTTATTTTTAGTGTCGACTGGACCAATTTTGCACTTTTTAATTTTTTTTATTTCGTCCCCTCGACCCTAATTTTTTACAAATTTTCTCATTAAACAGATAAAAAAAAAGTCTGGCCTAAGCAATAGGTCTACTATATTTGGTGTATGTAATGATTGTAAGGTGTACATGTCCAACTGGCAGGTGTCATCTGACCTTGACCTCATTTTCATGGTTCAGTGGTAATAATTTAGTTTTTGTGTTTTGGTCTGTTTTTATACGACGGCAAAAAAATTTTGCGGTCGTATATTGGTATGACGTTGGCGTTGTCTTCGTCGTCGTCCGAAGACACATTGGTTTTCGCACTCTAACTTTAGTTTCAGTGAATGGATCTCTATGAAATTTTACCATAAGTTTCAATACCACAAAAGGAAGGTTGGGATTGATTTTGGGGGTTATGGTACCAACAGTTAAGGAATTAGGGGCCAAAAAGGGGCCAAAAATAAGCATTTTTGTAACTTCCAGACATTACTTGTGTGTAAGTGTATGGATCTCTCTGACATTGTACCACAAGGTTCCATATCACAAAGGGAATGCTGGGATTGATTTTGGGGGTTATTGCCTCAAAATTTTAGGAATTGGGGGCCAAAAAAGGGGCAAAAAACAAGCATTTTTCTAGTTTCATGACAATAACTTGTGTGTTAGTGTATGGATCTTTCTGAAATTGTACTACAAGGTTCCATATCACAAAGCTGGAATTGATTTTGGGGGTAATTGCCCAAAACGTTTAGGAATAAGGGGCCAAAAATAAGAATTTTTCTAGTTTCCAGATAATAACTTGTGTTCAAGTGTATGGATCTCTCTGAAATTGTACTGCAAGGTTCCATATCACAAAGGGAACGCTTGGATTGATTTTGGGGGTAATTGCCTCAAAATTTTAGGAATCAGGGGCCAAAAGAGGGCCAAAAAACAAGCATTTTTTCTAGTTTCATGACAATAACTTGTGTGTAAGTCTATGAATCTTTCTGAAATTGTACTACAAGGTTCCATATCACAAAGGGAAAGCTGGAATTGAGTTTGGGGGTAGTTGCCCAAGATGTTTAGGAATAAGGGGCCAAAAATTAGTATTTTTCGCTCACCTGGCCCAAAGGGCCAACTGAGCTTTTCTCTTCACTTGGCTTCCTATGTCGTCGTCTGTCGTTAACTTTTACAAAAATCTTCTCCTCTGAAACTACTTGGCCAAATTTAACCAAACTTGGCCACAATCATCATTAGGGTATCTAGTTTAAAAAATGTGTCCGGTGACCTGGCCAACTAACCAAGATGGCTGCCATAGCTAAAAATAGAACATAGGGGTAAAATGTAGATTTTGGCTTATATCTCTGAAACCAAAGCAGTTAGAGCAAATCTGACGGGGTAAAATTGTTTATCAGGTCAAGATCTATCTGCCCTGAAATTTTCAGATGAATCGGACAACCTGTTGTTGGGTTGCTGCCCCTGAATTGGTAATTTTAAGGAAATTTTGCAGTTTTGGGTTATTATCTTGAATATTATTATAGATAGAGATAAACTGTAAACAGCAATAATGTTTAGCAAAGTAAGATCTACAAATAAGTCAACTTGACCAAAATGGTCAGTTGACCCCTTAAGGAGTAAATGCCCTTTATAGTCAATTTTTAACCATTTTTCGTAAATTTTTGTAATCTTTTACAAAAATCTTCTCCTCTGAAACTACTAAGACAAATTTAACCAAACTTGTCCACAATCATCATTATGATATCTAGTTTAAAAAATGTGTCCGATGACCCCGCCCGCGAACCAAGATGGCGGACATGGCTAAAAAATAGTACATAGGGTAAAATGCAGTTTTTGGCTCATATCTCTGAAACCAAAGCATTTAGAGCAAATCACACGATGATAAAATTGTTCATTAGGTCAAGATCTATCTGCCCTGAAATTTTCAGATGAATCGGACAACCTGTTGTTGGGTTGCTGCCCCTGAATTGGTAATTTTAAGGAAATTTTGCAGTTTTGGGTTATTATCTTGAATATTATTATAGATAGAGATAAACTGTAAACAGCAATAATGTTTAGCAAAGTAAGATCTACAATTAAGTCAACTTGACCAAAATGGTCAGTTGACCCCTTAAGGAGTAAATGCCCTTTATAGTCAATTTTTAATCATTTTTCGTAAATTTTTGTAATCTTTTACAAAAATCTTCTCCTCTGAAACTACTAAGACAAATTTAACCAAACTTGTCCACAATCATCATTATGATATCTAGTTTAAAAAATGTGTCCGATGACCCCGCCCGCGAACCAAGATGGCGGACATGGCTAAAAAATAGTACATTGGGTAAAATGCAGTTTTTGGCTCATATCTCTGAAACCAAAGCATTAAGAGCAAATCACACGATGATAAAATTGTTCATTAGGTCAAGATCTATCTGCCCTGAAATTTTCAGATGAATCGGACAACCTGTTGTTGGGTTGCTGCCCCTGAATTGGTAATTTTAAGGAAATTTTGCAGTTTTGGGTTATTATCTTGAATATTATTATAGATAGAGATAAACTGTAAACAGCAATAATGTTTAGCAAAGTAAGATCTACAAATAAGTCAACTTGACCAAAATGGTCAGTTGACCCCTTAAGGAGTAAATGCCCTTTATAGTCAATTTTTAACCATTTTTCGTAAATTTTTGTAATCTTTTACAAAAATCTTCTCCTCTGAAACTACTAAGACAAATTTAACCAAACTTGTCCACAATCATCATTATGATATCTAGTTTAAAAAATGTGTCCGATGACCCCGCCCGCGAACCAAGATGGCGGACATGGCTAAAAAATAGTACATAGGGTAAAATGCAGTTTTTGGCTCATATCTCTGAAACCAAAGCATTTAGAGCAAATCACACGATGATAAAATTGTTCATTAGGTCAAGATCTATCTGCCCTGAAATTTTCAGATGAATCGGACAACCTGTTGTTGGGTTGCTGCCCCTGAATTGGTAATTTTAAGGAAATTTTGCAGCTTTTGGTAATTATCTTGAATATTATTATAGATAGAGATAAACTGTAAACAGAAATAATGTACAGTAAAGTAAGATCTACAAATAAGTCAACATGACCAAAATTGTCAATTGACCCCTTAAGGAGTTATTGCCCTTTATAGTCAATTTTTTACAATTTTCATAAATTTTGTAAATTTTTGTAAATTTTTACAAAATATTTTCCACTGTAACTACTGGGCCAAGTTCATTATAGATAGAGATAATTGTAAGCAGCAAGAATGTTCAGTAAAGTAAGATCTACAAACACATCACCATCACCAAAACACAATTTTGTCATGAATCCATCTGTGTCCTTTGTTTAATATGCACATAGACCAAGGTGAGCGACACAGGCTCTTTAGAGCCTCTAGTTCTAGTTTCCAGACAATAACTTGTGTTCAAGTGTATGGATTTCTCTGAAATTGTACAGCAAGGTACCATACCGAGAAGGGAAGGCTGGGGGTAATTGCCTCAAAATTTTAGGAATTAGGGGCCAAAAAGGGGCAAAAAACAAGCATTTTTCTAGTTTCAGGACAATAACTTGTGTGTAAGTGTATGGATCTTTATGAAATTGTACTACAAGGTTCCAGATCACAAAGGGAAGCTGGGTTTGAGTTTGGGGGTAGTTGCCCTAAATGTTTAGGAATTTGGGGCCAAAAAACAAGCATTTTTGTCGAGCCTTCGACTTTAGTTGTCGTTGTCGTCGGCGGCGTCCACAAATATTCACTCTGTGGTTAAAGTTTTTGAAATTTTAATAACTTTCTTAAACTATCCTGGATTTCTACCAAACTTGGACAGAAGCTTGTTTATGATCATAAGATAGTATCCAGAAGTAAATTTTGTAAAAATAAAATTCCATTTTTTCCGTATTTTACTTATAAATGGACTTAATTATTCTGCCGGTAAATATTACATTCACTCTGTGGTTAAAGTTTTTAAAATTTTAATAACTTTCATTAACTATCCTGGGTTTGTACCAAACTTGGACAGAAGCTTGTTTATGATCATAAGATAGTATCTAGAAGTAAATTTTGTAAAAAAATAATCCATTTTTTCCTTATTTTACTTTTAAATGGACTTAGATTTTCTGCCAGGAAACAACACATTCACTTTGTGGTTAAAGTTTTTAAAATTTTAATAACTTTCTTATACTATTTTGGATTTGTACCAAACTTGGACAGAAGCTTGTTTATGATCAAAAGCTAGTATCTAGAAGGAAATTTTGTAAAAAAATAAATCCATTTTTTCCGTATTTTACTTTTAAATGGACTTAGATTTTCTGCCAGGAAACAACATATTCACTCTGTGGTTAAAGTTTTTAAAATTTTAATAACTTTCTTATACTATTTTGCATTTGTACCAAACTTGGACAGAAGCTTGTTTATGATCAAATGCTAGTATCTAGAAGGAAATTTTGTTTTCTTCCAGTTAACATTACATTCAGTCTGCAGTTAAAGTTTTTAAACATTTATTAGATTCATAAACTATCCTGGAATTTTACCAAACTTGGACAGAAGCTTCTTACAATCAAAAGATAGTATCAAGAGGAATATTTTTATTGATTTACTTCCTCATTTTTGTTGAGCCTGCGATTAACAGAAAAAGTAGGCGAGACACTGGGTTCCGCGGAACCCTTATGAATTTTTCTAGTTTCCAGACGATAACTTGTGTTCAAGTGTATGGATTTCTATGAAATTGTACTGCAAGGTACCATACCACAAAGGGAAGGCTGGGATTGAGTTTGGGGGTGATGAATCGTAAGGGGGTTCAAAAAATTTGGGGGGGGGGGGGATTTTTTTTTCCTTTTTTTTTCTTTAAAATTTTCCATTTTAAATTGGTTATTTCTGATTTATATATAAAAGCAAATAATAATGATATGGTTTGAATAGGTAAATTAAAAATATTTAAGTTCTTAGACAACATTCATTCTGTGTCAGAAACCTATGCTGTGTCAAATATTTAATCACAATCCAAATTCAGTGCTGTATCAAGCTTAAATGTTGTGTCCATACTTGCCCCAACTGTTCAGGGTTTGACCTCTGCGGTCGTATCAAGCTGCGCCCAGCGGAGCATTTTATTCTAATACTGTATGCAATAGGTCAACTATATTTTGTGTATGGAAATATTTTACGATGTACATGTCAGTCTGGCAGGTTTTATTTGACCTTGACCTCATTTTCACAGTTCATTGCTCAATGTTAAGTTTTGGTGTTTTGGTCCGTTTTTCTAATACTGTATGCAATAGGTCAACTATATTTGGTGTATGCAAATATTTTACGATGTACATGTCAGTCTGGCAGGTTTTATTTGACCTTGACCTCATTTTCACAGTTCATTGCTCAATGTTAAGTTTTTGTGTTTTGGTCTGTTTTTCTATTACTTTATGCAGTAGGTCAACTATATTTGGTGTATGGAAATATTTTACGATGTACATGTCAGTCTGGTAGGTTTTATTTGACCTTGACCTCATTTTCATGGTTCATTGCTTATGTTAAGTTTTTGTGTTTTTGTCTGTTTTTTCGTAAACTTTAAGCAATAGGTCAACTATATTTGGTGTATGGAATGATTGTAAGGTGTATATGTCTGTCTGGCAGGTATCATCTGACCTTCACCTCATTTTCATGGTTCATTGGTCAATGTTCAGTTTTCCTGGTAAACTTTGTTTCTTAGATACTATAAGCAATAGGTCAACTATATTTGATGCATGGAAGGATTTTAAGGTGTACATGTCTGTCTGGCAGGGTTCATCTGACCTTAACTTCTTTTTCATGGTTCATTGGTCAATATAGAATTTCCAAGGTTTGGTCTGTTTCTTTTATACTATAAGCAATAGGTCATCTATATTCTGTGTATGGAATGATTGTATTAAAGGTTTACATGTATTTAAACCTATATGAAGAAGTTTGTCAATTTATAATATATCCATCAATTTATTTGAAATTTGTAAGACAGTTTTTATCGCTTTGCTCAATCCTTTTAGTGTATGACTCCAGATATATTTTATAAGTTGTAAAAGTAATTACCTTACCGTATAATTTTTCATTTGCGAGTCGTGGAAGGCAAGACATAGGTGTTGCTTCTCCGGTGGTGGCAGTGTCAACAATTGTTAAGTTTTCTGCTTAAGTAAGTTTGATAGGAACTGCTTGTGATAGATCAATGATATTTTGTATGAAGTTGCATAACTATCAGAAAATATCAGTTTGACAACTATTTTGAGGGCCTACCCCCTAGGTCATTGGTCCAGTGAATTTGAATTAATTAGCAATTTTCAATGATAGATAAATGATTTTTTCTATAATGTTCAGCATTACTATCAGTACATATCAGTATGATGACTATTTCAAGGCCCTGCCCCATAGGTCATGGTTCAGTGACTTTCAATTAATTAGCAATTTCCAATGTTAAGTTTTCTGCTTAAGTTAGTTTGATAGAAACTACTTGTGATAAATCAATAATATTTTCTATAAAGTTACATTACTGTCTGTACATCTCAATTTTTTTTACCATTTCGAGGCCCTGTCCACTAGTTCATGGTCCAGCGACTTTGAATTAATAAGCAATTTTCAATGTTAAGTTTTCTGCTTAAGTTACATTGTTTTTGTAGTTTGATAGGATCTAAATTAAATTATTGGCATATAGGCAGACTTTGGCAAAACCACGAAATCAAATACCCATGAAAATGCATTTTTTCCTCAATCCACGAAAATTGGAACCAACGGAAATAAATGAATCCCCAGTACAAGTTTTAATGAAACATATTTTCTTTTATTTTACAGGTAATTTACTGAATACTTTATTAGGAGGTGGAGAAGAAGAACCTATGCAAACATCTACAGAATCTGTATCGTCTCCGAAAGTGGAATCTATTGTAGATTTGGACTAGGGTGTCAACGTTGTTATAATTATAAACATTTCTATGTTGAGATGTATTCATTGACTGTTCGTTTATTCATGAATTCAGTAAAAAAAAACTTTATATTTCTGTTTTACTAGATTTACTTGAGTATGGAAAAAAAAAATTGTATGAAAGCAAGATATTTCAGCGATAACACGACCTCAATTTCATACATGTATTCATAGTTTTTGGTAATATTTTTGTTGGAGTGAAAATGTCAAGATAACATTTTTTGAGAATTCTATTGGAACAGTTAATTACTTTTAATTACTAGCACATAAAAAAAGCAAAGATTTCAAAAGGATATTGTCCATGGATACTTTGGGTACATTTATTTATGAGTTTTCTAATTTTCGATGATTAAGGAATACTTGCATTTTGTTGTGGATATTTGACTTGGTGAATTTGTCAACGTCTCCATACAAGCCTATAGAAAATTTGTAATTCTTTGAACATTTAAATTTGTGGGTAACCTTTACCATCAAAATCCACAAATATTGGTATCCCACGAATAATTATAAATCCACAGTAGTACATTTTACAATGTTCTTTAATTAGGTCTTTTGGATCAAATCTTGAAGGATATTTTTTTACGATTTTATTCCTCTCAGAAATGTAATGAACTTCAAATCATTCTGGTATGTCAATAACAAGATATTGAAAATAAAAATGTTTAATTTCTGTTGATAATATGTGTTTTTCCTACCTCAGAAAACATAAATGAATTCATAGTTATTGCAAGTCAGTAAGCAATATAAAAAAAAAGTAAAAAGCTGTTTCAAATTGTTGAATGTGTTTGCTGAGTGTAATGTTTCAAACTTTATATGTATATAGGAAGTAATGTTACATGAATTATATAAAAAAATATTTAAATTATGTTTTGCTCAACCTGAAAGCATCTATATTTCTGTTTATTGATACTATTAGGTTTGCAGGTGTTACTTTATAATTATAAGTTCAACATGATAATGTACAAATGTACCTATTTATTTCTAAGATATGCATAAATTATTTATGGATATTGATATTTCATTTGCTCACCTTTATTTTGTTTGCAGCATTCTACAATGGTTTCTCTCATAAAGAAAAATGTTGCACTAAATATTTCTTTGTCACCCTTTTAAGGATATTTTGTAGATATACCCCTCATTTTTTTTTTAAATAAAGTAAGAGAAAAAGGGGTTGTCTTGCTAAGCATATGTAAACAGGAAGTAGGTGTCTGACTGTCAGATCGGAAAAGTGACCACAATATACAATTCATCACTGTCAAGCTGCTGACCATTTATGAGGTGGTTCTGTTCAATGGTTCCTGAGAAAATTGTAACAAAATATTTTTTGGATGGACAAACAGATAGACAAGGTAAATGCAATATAGCCCATGTTTAGGGTGGGAGTATAATACCAAATCTGTGTCTCTTAGTCTGAAATAGTGAGTTCCTTTAATATGTCTCATCAAAAATGCAGAAATGACTTTGTGTTTTGAGAGTTTCAGATGTCTGTCTAGTATCCCTTTAAAATCTCTTTTTTTGAAAGTATCCCTTTAAAATCTCTTTTTTTGAAAGTATCCCTTTTAAATCTCTTTTTTTGAAAGAGGGTTAGTATTTACACAGTGAGAGAGAAACCATTGTATATTAAATTCAGATTATTAAGTGCTTGCAACATGTAAGCTATTTATTATTATTTCGACATTTGTTAAACATACAGTTTTATAGCTCTATAAACACAGCTTTTTCACGTTTAAAACATGGGAAATAAAAGTAACACAATAAAATCCTTACCGTATTTCATTTATTTATAATTAAATGTAATTGCATATGTGCAGAAAACAGTCGGATTTTAACAGGCTGTTGCATATCAGTAAAACAAGAGAAGAAATAAACAAATGATCCCCAATTAAGATACTCACCTGCTCTAGATGTTTTAAAAGGTAACAATAAAATCTGTTCATGACATATAAAGTAATTCAAATGAATTTTGTGTTAAAATGGTAGACAAAATAAAAAAAAGGAAATAAATATGATAGTCCAGTATTGCGGAAGATTTAAAGTGGAGGTCTTGCAAATAATAAGAATATTGACTAAGATTTAACATTTGATGATGATGGTGAATGGCCTTTAAATGTCTAGTGGCTAGTTAAATACATACTCAGGATGAGAACATATTAATGTGATATGAATATAAACCTGGCTTTGTACTAGACCGACAGACTGAGTTGGAATTTTTAACATGCTAGTTCTTAAGATAACAGTCTGCACAGATACATGCCACTCTACCCGAACACATTATTCTGACTCTTGTCTCCACCAGTTAATGCTCTTACTCCTAAATGCTGAGTGCCGAGTTGAGACGCAACAAATACCAATTTTCAAGTCTTTGGTTGACTCTGGCTTGGATTGAAACCTAAGAGCTTCCCTTGAGACAAACACACATTTTTTATGTTTGAAAAATTGATCAAATGCCTAAGCCCATCATTAACATATATACAGATTCTAACACATCACCCTGCTGATTACCATATTTATTCCACTTTAGATCATCAAAAGTTCAATCTTTAAAATGTGAGATTTACTGAGATTTTTGTCTCGCCTGCGACTTTTGTCGCAGATAGTGAGACATAGGGATTGGTTTTCCGGTAGTGATGACGGCATCAACAATTGTTAAGTTTTCTGCTTAAGTTAGTTTGATAGGAACTACTTGTGATAGATCATTGATATTTAATATAAAGTTGCATTACTATCAGTACATATCAGTTTGATGACTTTTTTGAGGCCCTGCGTCCTAGGTCATGGTCCAGTGACTTTAAATTGATTAGCAATTTTAAATGTAAAGTTTTCTGCTTAAGATAGTTTAATAGGAACTACTTGTGATAGATCAATATTTTCTACAAAGTTGCATTACTATCAGTACATATCAGTTTGACGACTATTTTGTGAGGCCCTGCCCCCTAGGGAATGGTCCAGGGACTTTGAATTAATTAGCATATTTCAATGCGTTTTTTGCTTAAGTTAGATGTGCTTTTATAACTGTGTTTATTTGTAATATTTTACCCATGTCATATTTAAAGTTGCATATATGATAGGAACTAATTACAATAGACAACAATATTTTCTGTAAAGTTACATTTACTCTCTGTACATCTCAGTTTGTCGACCATTTCATTGTCCAGCAACTTTGAATTAATAAGCAATAATGCTGACAGGGGAGACTTATCTCTGTGTCAACAGTTTATTAAAATTTAACTTTTCTAAATATTGTCATCAAATTGGTAAAGTGGTAGATTCAATTTCTTTAATGATTTAATGGAAAATACCAAGTGAAATGTTGTGAATAGAGATTGTGGGAAATTAAATGATTAAGGCAGATTTAATCAACCTATGGTGTATCAAAATTAATCAAACTAGTCAGAAACAGTTTGGATACATGATGAATGAGAGAAATCATGGTTAATGAATGAATTTCTTTCCATCAATCTATAATCTTCTGTCTGTTCATTGGTCCCAAAATGTATGTCTGTTGATTTTTGGCCCGGTTCTACAAAGTCCAAAACCAGCTTTTAGTATGGTGATGATGGGCAGTTAGGTGGGCAAAGTGGGTATCTAATTTGTGTAGTCAACTTCTAAAGTTTTCAACCCAGATCCCTAAAACTTGACAGGCTGATTGCACATATGTTTAAGTTGTGCACTTGCTATTATGGAATTTTTTTAGGAATATTTTCAGACTTGGGAAATGGTCTTTTCTCATTAATGAAAAATAGGTCGAAGTTTTGTGTAAAGTTCACCTACATTTTTAACCCAGAGCATTGAAACTTAACAAGAAGATTACACATATGTTGAAGTTGTGCACTGCTATTATGGAATTGTTTGGGGAATTATTTTCTCCTTCCCAGACTTGAGAAATAGTCTTTTTTTCATTAAAATTTATGAAAGAGGGTAGAACTTTCCCCTTATTCTTAACCCAGATCATTGAAACTTCACAAGAAGATTGCACATGTGTTGAAGCATTTTCCCGGACTTGGGAACATAGTTAATTTCCAGCAAAATTTACAAAATTGTGTACCATCTTTTTGTAATCAACTCCTAGTTTTCAAGTCAGATCCTCCAAACACACTACATTGATTAGTCACAAATATTGCAACCCGGCCATTTGATACTTAAACCCATTTAAAGAAAGATTTGTATGATTTATGAAAACTAGCTCATCTTTGATTTTGGCAATTTTCAATTATTGTATTCCTGATTTGTGACACTTATACACATTGGACAATTTACATCATGTCTCGTGATAATCCCCTTTGAACTGCTAAAGCACTAAGATCTTTTTGAAATAATAAAAGGTCAGCAATAAAGTTTCATTGGAACCAGTTATCATGCTGGTCCCGTTATTTGACGGGCTAGATGCCATATTCGGTTTTGGCCTCCCGTGGTGTTCCATAGCTTCAAAAAGGCTTCAGTCTATTTACATTTCACAGGACAAACTTCTGCAACAAGTGTAAGATATTTTTCTATGGCATTCGACTAAAGAAACGAAAATTCATACCTGGACGTGTGGGGTTATCAATTTTTTTTTATATAAGATTGGCTTAACTTTTTGCACACACGCAGGTCAAGGAATTGGGAAGTACAAAAAAGACGACGAGGGCAATGAAATGGCTAATTCTTGTTTTTCACTTCATTTCAACTTTAGGCAAAGATCTATGAATGCTTGACATTAAAGTATTTAACATTTAGTTAGCAATTGGGCAAAGAAAAAGGGGTGAGCCTCCTATAATGACTTGCACTCATTTTATGAATTAAATGGAGTTAGTTCTCTTTGTACAGAATTTAAATGCTTTGATATATCTTTGGCGATAATTATAAATAATAATTAAAAAATACAACTATGAATCTATGTCTGCAGATTGCTCGTCACTTGCATATCAGTGTTTGATATACTGTTGTGTGTCTTTTTTTTTCTGTTTTGCCTTGGTGCTGTTTGTCAACCCTTATAATTTTCGTATGGAAATATGGTAACATTGACTTCCTATGACAGGCAGTGATATCCAGCTAAAGTGGGAAGTCTTTTGGAAATACAGGATGCAGAATACGCATCAACTCCGATGCCTCGTATATGTACCTAAATATAGAGTGCCACGCCATATGCACATTTAGAAACCTTGCTTCATTTCTAAAAGGAATTTGTAGATAGCATGTCTTAATGCAAATTTCTACCCTATCTAAAATATTATCTTTTTCTAAATTTTATGAAATTAGATTATTTATTAAAAGATAAAATCCTTCATCCCGGTACCATGCGTATTCATGCATCCTTTTTACAGAACATGCCTATTGGATTCATTGTATTCAATTTGTTCTGAATATGCATGAACTGTTTGCTACAGGACGATTAGCAAACAGCAATCACTCAATCTTATATTTTCATGAGGTTACGAGGGCGCTGGGTCGTCATGAAAAAAGATATATGTACGTCTAAAAAGTGTACAAAACAACACCAATAAAAAAATCGTACGGGGTGACGCGGAACTTTGTGTCTCGCCTGCGATTGCTGCTGTCAGTGTAAAAGTGTAATATTGACTTAAAAAGTGAGTTCATTTATCAGTAAAATACAGAATTTAAAAAATCAAACTTTTTTTTTAGATGCTATATCATGGTCTTGAAGCTTCGCTAAAAAATTACTGTATAATTAATACTATATATATATGTATATGCTCGGAAACGGGCCCTTTAATTGGATTCAATAAATATTCTTATTCTTATTCTTATTCTTATTTTTCTAACCATTTTCCTGTTTGAATTGTTTTACACTAGTCACTTTGGGGCCCTTTATAGCTTACTGTTCGGTGTGAGCCAAGGCTCCGTGTTGAAGGCCGTACTTTGACCTATAATTGTTTACTTTTTACACATTGCGACTTGGATGGAGAGTTGTCTCATTGGCACTCATACCACATCTCCTTATTTCTATTCATAACAATCCATGAAGGTTTACAAATTTATCATGTCAAAGAAGTTTAATTACTGTCTGTAAATGATTACTGTGTAAAAACTAAGTCCATCCATCAGAAAATACCGAAAATGAAAAAAAAACATACATATTTTCAGACATATCTCTTAACCAAAAAAAAGCTTCTGCCAAAGTTTCATAAAATTCTAAGGTTTGATAAAGTAATTGATGTGTAACAAACTTTAACCCCAGACTGAATCTATTTGTTAAATGTAAAAAAACGAAGTCCATTTATCAGTTAAACGAAGTCCATTTATCAGTTAAATACGGAAAAATGAAAATTAAATATTTTCAAAGTTTTGCCCTGAATACTGTATTTGGGTCATAACTAAGCTTTTGTCCAAATTTCCTTAAATTCCATGAAGGTTTGACAAAGTTATTGATGACTGAAAAACTTTAACCTCAGACTTTATCTATGTGTTAATTGTAAAAAAAACTCTAAGTTCACTTATCAGTACAATACGTAAAAAAGAAAATAAATATTTTTAAAATTTGCCCTGGATACTGTATTTTGGTCAGAACCAATCTTCTGTCCAAAGTTTCATAAAATTCCATAAAGGTTTGGCAAAGTTATTGATGTCTAAAAAAACTTTAACCTCTGGTTAAATCTGAATGTTATCTTTATAAAAAAACTAAGTCAATTTATCAGTAAAATACGGAAAAATGAAAATAAATATTTTCAAAATTTTGCCCTGGATACTGTATTGGTCATAAACAAGCTTCTGTCCAAATTTCATATAACTCCATGTAGGTTTGACAAAGTTCTTGATGTCT